GGTGGGTTTATCGGATGGCCAATCTGCCTACTGCAGAGCCCCTGCTTTTGCAGTTGTTTCTTTTTGTGCAAGCTGCAACAGCTGAGAGGTGACGACATTCGTGTCATCCATGTGGTGCTCAGCAGCTTTCGCTCCAAACCTCTTGTCTTGGCATGGCGTGTTTTCGTGCTGCACACAAACTTGATGTCGTCAAGGAGGGGCACTGGCTAAGGCCTTGTTCGTTAATTTGATGCTGCTCCAAGACGTTGCCTGTCATGTCATGGTGGGCAACATCAATGCTCTTCCTACATTGTATTCCTGGTTCGATGGGTGGGAACACCACAAAAGTTGCGAGGTCTTTCGTGACAGCGCAAGAGAAGCTACCGAACTGAGACTTCCGTGCTATTCACTTTGCACTTTATCAATTTTAGCATGAGTGGGGTCGGATGCAGGATCTGGGTTACCTGTGCCTCTTGTCATTCCTTTTCTTGTGCTCTGATTTGTTTGTTGCCTTTCCAGTATCTTCGTCCTGAAACCGGCAAGCACCTGGGTCAAGCCAACTTTAACATGCATGGCACAGAGTGCCGGTAGCAGCTGTCAGCACTTATCGATCGACAGGGCCGAGAAAAGCACCGATAGCAATGAAAAGCAGACGAGGCATTGACTGTGGGAAGAGTGACAGACACACATTGCTTGTACCGAGCACAGATGATTCGCCAGGCTCTATATCCGGCACTGTTCGGTTCTGTTGAGCCCCGAAAAGGGCTTGAGCCCTGCATGCGATCCTGCGATACCGAATCCTCTATGGGCCGATGTGGCGGCTTGCGACTCTTCTGGGGCTCAGCTGCTGGACGCTAGTGACTTGAACTTACGTGCAGTGTCCAGATTTGGAGTTTATGCTTAGGTTGGCGAGCTTCTAGACTCAAGACTTGAGGGGAAGAAGGCAAAAGGTTGCCGCTATCGAACGCTGTTCTACCCTGGCATAGGCTTTTTGAGGGGTGGGGGCATGCGCTGCTTCCAGGCATCCGGGTCCCCGGGCTGCAACCAGGGCTGTGACACAGCGGCTCGGCTTCAGGCCGTTTCGTTCAGATCTCAAGAGCTGACCTGCCCTGATTGAGGATCTTCGTCTGCAGGACACTTAGGATGTTCTGGGCCTTGCATGGGCATGTGTGCATTCACGGAACGTTGTCAGAGGCCAAAGTCAGGCAGAATGCATTTCGGCATTTGGGCATACTTAATGCGTCGTGACCTGTTTGCACTGGTATCAGTAACATCAAGGCACTTCTTGGTTGTTTGGTCATCTGGTCTCAGGAGCTGTGTGCAGTTCATGGAAAGCGTTTCATCTGTGTACGGCGCGTCTTTGCGTGCCTGTGTCTGCAGGGGATACAGTCGGATACAGCGTCTGCGGGGCGCTATTCCAAGGACAGTGCATCGGCGTTGCAACTTCCAGCACGCGCGCCGCAGAAGCCGTGCTTGTCTTTCATCCACATCCCGAAGGCCGCAGGGCCCGCTTTTCGCTGACTGTGAGACTTGTTGGTGTGGCTACTTTGCTTCTTTTTTTTCTCAGGATTTGGGGACAGACTAGGTGTTTCGTCACGAGCAAGACATCAACAAGTTCACTTCGGGATTCAGTGTTTCCAGCCTAGGGCTTTGCCGAACCATGGATCAGGATGGATGCCCTTGTCACCACCGCTACTGCTACAAGTCGTTGTTCTTTGTCTTTGACGACGACGTATACTCTCTTACTTGTCGTCCTGATGCTGTTGTGACTAGTACGACGACGCCTTCACCTTTTTCTTGCTACTCCCGCTCCTGCTCCTGCTCCGACTCCTCCTCCCCCTCCTCCTCCTCCTCCGCTCCGACTGCGATGCCGCCGCTGGCGACGACAACGGACCGTTACTGTTGTCACGACGACTCATGCTGACGATCCAGCGTAAGTCTTCTGATCCCCACCAAATGTAAAGCCTCCTCGCCTAGTGCAAGCGCCTTCGGATCTCGAAGGCGGGTGGTTCCAACATCGAGAACCTCATTGCTCATGCGGTGGGCACTCTCCTGAGCCGGTTCGAACAAGAACTCGCTTGCTTTGTGCTGTTTTATGGTCACCTGCTACAACCTTGTTCTACTTGTTCGGCCTTCCCTGCTTAACAGTTTCCAACTTTGTTAGTAGTTTAGTCCCATAGGCGCTGGCTGGGCCCTGGGCGCCTCTTTCCTGCGCCCCTAGGCTTCCGTGGCCTGGTCGAGAATCCGCCCGACTGCCCCGCAGCTGAAAGGTTTTGATTTTTGAGGGACACGACGTGGGATTAAGCACAGCCTGGGCGCAGAACCCTATCCTCACTGAGCCTGCTTTGCACCGCAACGTGAGGCTGCGATGGCATAGATTAGCCTTTAGGCGTTGGGGGCCTTGGGCTTAGGCTTGGGTGTTGTGGAAGCTACGGGACTTGGGCTTGGAGTTTCTTTCCTGCTTTGGGCGGTCTCAAGGTCACTGAAGCATTCAGTGTTGTAGTCACAGCACTCCCCCGCCTGCGATCCCTCATTCTTGGATACTTACGGACACGAACCGGCGAAAGGGGCACACAACAAGAAGGGAGCCGCAAGTCCGACCAGGACAACATGGAGGGGCTTGCAAGCTTAATGTTCCATCGGCTGCCTTTGTAGTCCCTTCCCCCACCAGAGGCATGGAGAAGGAACCTTCTACTTCTGCGTTTTAAGGCAGGGTGTTTAGTGTTTAGACTTGGAAGACGTATCTGCTGTCAGGCGTTTGGTACCATCATTGGTTAAGTTAGTTAACAAGGAACACAAAGCACACGAGCACAATAACGACACCACATGACAGCTGCAAGATTTGGAAAGGTGTGTTGTGTGCAGCTTCGCTTTTTTGAAGAACTGGTAATGTACTGAGCCAAGTCAAAAGAGGGAATCTTAGTGTTGAATCAGCAGAAAAAAAGCAACAGCGTAACGATCCCAACACTGCGAAGAAAGACCAACGCCTTCATGTAGACCTTTGATAATGAAGCCCCCTCCCTGAAAATGAACTGGACTACACTAGGGATCCAAATATCAGGGCCCCGAAGTGAAGGGGTTCTACATTACCATTCCAAGCTTAGCTGGTGCAATAATCCTCGCTTGCTTTCGTTGTTTGATAGTGTTTAGGGCATGCGTTTGAAGGCCATAGATGCTAGGTGTTGACAGGTTGTACTAAGGCTGTGCTGCAAAGCGTCGGTGCTGCTGCGGGTTACGTTGACATGTCTCAACCTTCGTGCTTGCGACCTTAAAATGTCGAAGTACCATCCGGGACAAAGTGCGACCTTTGGGGTTGTGGCTTTTGTGGCTTCTCAAGCTGAGGCACGGCCCTGCGAAAAATGGAGGGCAATGCACGCCTTTGGGGCATGTGCGATGACAGGCTGCAGTGTGCAGCTCGACTGTACTTCGACACAGCTGTTCGGTGTTCGGCGGTCAGTCCTTCGAGCATGGGAGATTTCACTTGTCTAAATGCGATAATCCCCCTCGTATCCAAACCCAAATCCCCAGACTCAAGACCTCGCTAGACCCGCTTCAGATGCAGTGCCAAGCCGATTCCGGAAATGGCAAGCCAAGGCCTCGCGGAAGAACTGCGAATGGTCCTGCCCACACCTGAGAAATCAGAGGGAGATTGCCAGTGCTTTGGGAGCTTATAGAGCAGGAGTCGAGTGCGCTTCCTTTGCTGGAAGGGGACTCGTTTCTGTCGTCGCGTGGCAATTGAAGACGGGTTGGAGTCTTTAGCCCTGGCTCTCCGGGGAGTGCTCGGGCCCAGACCCTACAGACCCTACAGAGCCTACAGAGCCTACAGAGCGTAAAGTCTAAAGAGTAGCCCCAAAGCCCCAAACTCATTGCTTCAACTGAGGTGGCGACTGCTGCCTCCTGACTGCTCTGGACGGAGAGGAGTCGTAGGCATCACCGAAGCGCCTGAAGGCATGAACCTTGCCGCTGCCGTGCCAGTAGAGCAATCCAGGTCTTTGCTATGCTTACACCTTCCAGCCGCATATCTCAGGCTGAATCCTCAAAAGCCACAAGTAGGTTTCGAGAATAGTTTCGTAAACTTTCCTAAAGCCCTCAGCCCTAAGTCCTAAACCCAAAACTAACCCTCCAAAAAAAGGCACGAAACAGGGCCCACTCGAGGCTACGTCAACGCGTCCTTCGTCCCGGTTCCCACTCCCAAGGCCCAAGTGGAGCCTCGACTCTTTCAAACGGGTCGTCGGTTCAAGCGTTATCGGCTTGGTGAACTTAGGGTTCAAGATTGCATTGGGCTCACTGGTTCCCAGCCTTGGATCAGAAGACAGCTCAGCTTCTGAGGGGTTTTCCACGTGCCTAGTACGCCGAGGGCACTGCTTCATTGATGTCCTAGCTCCGGTTTCGGGGCCTTGGAATGAGGCAGTCCTGAACCCTGGGAAGCCCTCAAACAAGCCGCTACTCCCCGGAGTGTCTGGAAACCACGGGAAGGCCGTCCCACAGCAGAGCATCTGAGCTTCCAAACCTCTGGCCAAACAGCCTCGACATGCCTCGAACTCGTCTGATTCCGGGTTGCAAAAGCCGCAAAAGAGCAGAGCCCCAGGATCGCTGCAGCTTTTGGCACTTTCCGCCCTCCCTAGATGAGCGGTTAGTCTTCACCCTGGCGCCGGCTTGGTCTATTGCTGCTGTTGCTTTTGATTGGAGGGGCTTTCTCGGAGAAGTGATGGATCGACCTGCCCGGGCAAGTTTATTTTGAGGTCTGCTTGCACAGTCGTGCCGGGTGCCATTACTTGAGTGCCAGCCGTGGGTAATTTTTAACACTCTTGTTTTAAAGGCTGGAGAGGCTGAAGTGACCTCCGAAAGGGTGGGCTGCATTGGTAATGTCAGAGGGCCCCGAACTGCGCAGGAGCCTGAACCTTGGCATTTCGGCTCGAGGATTGGTGATCAAGGCCGCTACATCGCGCGGTGTGCCCCCATCACCTTCCGTTGGTGATCTTTGACTCTTTCGCGACTTCTACGCCCCTCACTTTGCAGCCATGCGTGAGGCCATTTGCATCCACATCGGCCAGGCGCGCAAACAGACTTCGAAGCTTGTGTGAATTCCGAAGTCCCCGCGACCTGTTGCAACGGGGAAGCGTGCTTGCCTACATTTTCAGGGTGGCGTGCAGATCGGAAACGCCTGCTGGGAGCTCTTCTGCCTTGAGCATGGTATCCAGCCGGATGGTCAGATGCCCAGCGACGCTTGCCGGCATGCTTTCAAGACGTTTAAGAGCTGCACCCAGAACTCGCAAGCAACTGGAGACCGATGTGTCAGTGTGAAGCCGGCTACTACGGCATGAAGCTAAGGACAAGACCATCGGTGGTGGAGATGTCCCTTGTCCAATTTTTGGAACGCGTTCGTTGACTGCGCAGATCTTTAAGTTTGCTTTGGAGGCTAGCTTCTAGGACAAATGGCGGCGGTGAAGCAGCTGAATCATGCTTAGCCCGTTGACCCCCCGCCAGGAAGCATTCAACGAAGATGTAACGACATAATGTCTTGGCATAGCAAATCCGAGTAAGAAGACGGAACATCTGTCCACTTCATCCGTGCAGAAGCATCGAAACAGTGATCAGCACACGGATTATGTCGTTACATTTTAATAGAAGAGATGGTCGGCATCCCAATCATAAACCCCGCCAGGACGCATTCAACACTTTCTTCTCCGAAACTGGCGCCGGAAAGCACGTTCCTCGCTGCGTCATGGTGGACTTGCGCTTAGTTGATTCTGGCTACTTGCGACTGTTTGCAGTTCGATGCCAGCCGGATTCGCATGGCGAGAGTTTGTTAGTTCATGCCACTACGTGCAATCTGAATCGCCGCAACGTTGCATATGCAGTGTGTGCACCCAAGGATCTTGAGCCGACCGTCGTGGATGAAGTTCGCACAGGAACTTATCGTCAGCTGTTCCATCCAGAGCAGCTGATCTCTGGCAAGGAAGATGCTGTCACTTGGCAGACAGCATGTTGAACCCCACTGTCTTAATGTCTTGTTTTGTCGTTTCTCCGCTTGAAGATGCGAAGGCGAACAATTTCGCCCGCGGCCATTATACGATCGGCAAAGAAATCGTGGATTTGGTTCTGGACAGGACTTGAACTTCTCGTAGCTGGCGTGGGGATGTTTTTGGCGATAGAGCTACGCTTGCTTGTACTGTGTCGCTTGTGCAAGCGTGTCTCGCATGTGGAGAGAGTGGTTCGGTTTGGGCCAATGGCAGGATCCGCAAGCTGGCCGACAACTGTGACTCGGTGCTTGCAGTCAGTCTTCAGTTTGAGCAATATTGAGAACCCTCTTGAGCTTTGCCGGTGGCGCTTGCAACCTGAATGGTATTGGCACAAGGCCTCGACTGATTCGTAGTTAGCACCATATTCTATGCTCCAGGCACCGGGCTACAGGGATTTTGCGTCTACAATGCCACTTGGATTAAATTTCGTGACATACCGATACCACTGTCTGCCAATCTGGACGTGCCGCTTGGGGCTGTGAGACCCGAGGCCTGCGGTGGAGGAACGGGCTCCGGCCTGGGTTGCCTCATGCTGGAGCGCTTGTCCGTCGACTACGGCAAGAAGAGCAAGATCTCCTTCACGGTGTGGTGCTGCCCGCAGGTGGCAACGGCAGTCGTCGAGCCGTACAACACGGAGACTCGGCTTTGCTTTTGGTCCTAGAAAACTACTCTCGGGTTTTTATACGCGCCTTCTTAAGCGAGAACGAGATTCGTGCCAAGGTGTTGTGCGTTCACTCGCTGTTGGAGCATACGGATGTGACGATCATGTACGACAACGAGGCCTTGTACGATATTTGCCGCAGGATCCTCGGCGTGGATCACGTGTGTCATTGCATTCATGCTTAGACCTCGGGGAGTTGAGTTCATGTGGTCCTAATGCACTGCGGCACTGCATCTCATTATGCTTGCATCCATTCTTTGTGGGGTCGGTGTCGTGTTTCCTGACTGATGCCCAAAGTTGAAAGGGACCTGGCGCAGGAACCTGGACATCGAGCGCCCCACGTACACCAACCTGAACCGCTTGATCGCCCAGATCATCAGTTCCCTGACGGCCAGCCTTCGCTTCGATGGAGCCTTGAACGTGGACATCACGGAGTTCCAGACGAACCTGGTGCCGTACCCGCGCATCCACTTCATGCTCACGTCCTATGCTCCGGTCATCTCTGCCGAGAAGGCCTACCACGAGCAGCTGTCCGTGGCTGAGATCACGATGTCTGTCTTCGAGCCGGCGTCCATGATGGTCAAGTGCCAGCCTTAATTTTGTTGCATGAAGGGTAGTGAAGGCTTCAGGACCTCAGGACGCAGAATCTCGGGCTAACGGCTCACACCAAATATGGACAACATCTGGTGTTGCCTGCGGCTTCGTCGAGAGAGCGGTTTCGTAGCGACATCCAATCATCATCATGCATGGCATGCAGGTGCCTTTTTTCGCCTGATACGTCGCTTCCAACCCCTTCTTCGGTGAGAGATAGGTTGTTGCAGCTACAACTAAACAATGTGCAGGTGTGATCCTCGTCACGGGAAGTACATGGCCTGCTGCATGATGTACCGCGCGGGTGCCCGGCATTGTGCAGCAGCAGCTGCAGGTGTAGAGATGTGCAAGGGGCTGAATGGAGAAGAATGTAAAGATTTGCAAAGCAGGAGCATGACTCCTGTACTCACAGGGTATGTTCTGACACGTCTTGACTGCCCAGGCGGCGATGTTGTGCCAAAGGATGTGAACGCGGCCGTGGCCACCATCAAGACCAAACGCACCATCCAATTCGTGGATCCTGGGTTGCATTCCAGAGCGAACTGCACGTCCCATGCAGGACCATTGTCCTCCACAGAGAATGACACACACACACACACGGATGGTCCTTTATGAAGCTAGGAGCTTTGACATCCGGGCGGCGAGCTGTCTGTGACCGCATGGCACGTGACGTCGTGACTTCAATGGGATTTCATTCTCCGACCGGTCCTCCCAGCATCTTAAGCTCACCACCTTTTCACAAATTGGACTTGCTCCGCTGGCTTCACATCTTCGAGCTGGTGCTGATTGTTGCACGGGAATTTTAAAGTTTCTTTGCAAACCATCGCTAGCTGTAGGACTGGTGCCCCACGGGATTCAAGTGTGGCATCAACTACCAGCCACCCACCGTGGTCCCAGGCACGGTTCGTGCGCTTTCTCGTTCTGTGGTTCCGGGTAGGTTTCAACGAGTTCAAGAGTTGAGGTGTAGCAGTGTAGCAGCTTCTGGGTGAAGGGTCAAGGAGGCGAAGCTCGGCGGTTCGTCTATCCTTGAAGGTCCGGGCTCGGGGCATCGAGCTGAGAGCGGTGTTGACGAAAACCTTCTTAGGAGTCATTATCGTGCAGTTCAGGGAGCTCGGCCCGCTGTCCGCGGTTGCGGTGACTCAGAGTCAGATGGAACAGCGCCGCCGTGGCAAGGTGGAGACTTGGCAAAGGTCATGCGCGCTTGCTGCATGATCTCCAACTCCACGGCCATCGCCGCAGCTCGACGGCGTTCTGTGCTGTCAGGCTTGTCGGGACTCGAGGTCAAGAACTGAATGGAGCTTACGTTGTTTTCAGGCGCCACAACGCTGAGCAGGGATTAGAATCCATAAAATTTGCCACGGCAAATCGTCTCGGGGTCGCCGTCCGTGGGGGTGTGGGGGTCGTGTCCAGGCCCCAGGCCCGACATGCTCAGCACTTGCCTGGCTTGGTGTCTAACAACGGATCCATAATGGTTTGAGGCCCGTGCTGCCTAAATGCTGATGCTTTTGACTGGCTTGTGATGCCTTGTTGCCTCGGTTCTCAAGGAAGTCTTCTCACGCATCGACCACAAGTTCGACCTCATGTACTCGTGCCTTGCTGCTTCAGTGTGGTAACCCTCAACACTGAAGACTCTGAAGGTTGCCGGAATCAGGTTTCAAGCCTCAGCATTGCCGGGGAGTGTTCCGTGTTGGGGCCCTTTCCGCAGTCCTTGCCTGCTTATGCCCAGCTTATGCCGCTTTGGAGCATCCTTGCAAGCCCTGTGCAGCCAGGCCGCTCCAAGCCTGGCAACTAAACTTGGAAAGCCCCCCCCTGTCGAGAAAACTTGACCCATATGGAGAATCCCGATTGAAGTTCATGGAGCTTCACCGAGGAAGCGAGCCTTCGTGCACCACTACGTTGGTGAAGGTTCCGTTCCCGCACTTTGGGGGGCGTCGGTTACAGGAACGAGCGCCAGTTCGCTACTACGATTGAAATTTTGTCCGCCCGTGATGTATGTGCAGATGCTCTTCGGCAGGTATGGAGGAGGGTGAGTTCTCGGAAGCGCGCGAGGATTTGGCCGCCTTGGAGAAGGAGCATTGGCCGCTAGGGCCAGGGTCGGGACGACAGCGTCGGAGAGTGAGGGCCAGCGAGAGGAACAGATACGTATACGTATGTGCTATGTAAACATAGTTTGGGGCTCGGGGCGCTCTGCGAAAGCTGCGCACCTGCGGCGGGCCCAAAGCGTCAGGCGGTGACACTTGTGTCAGGATTGTTAGGGTTCAATTTAGGGTTTAGGGTTCAGTGGTTTTTTTTGCGGTATCAGGTATCGGGAGACGCCCCAGGGCCTGAGCCGCGTCACTCGTGACGCGTGCAGCTAAAGCTTCGCAGCTTCGGGGCTCGTCGCAACGCAGCTTCTGTCGAGTAGCTTCGCAGCCTGGATCGAGCAGGTCCCCCCGGGCCCGGTCCGTCAGCATAAACATGGATATGTTATAATCAGAAATCATAGATCAGACGGTAGTAGCAGTAGTTGTAGTCGTCGTAGTAGTTAGTAGTAGTAGTAGTAGTAGTAGTAGTAGTAGTAGTAGTAGTAGTAGTAGTAGTAGTAGTAGTAGTAGTAGTAGTAGTAGTAGTAGTAGTAGTAGTAGTAGTAGTAGTAGTAGTAGTAGTAGTAGTAGGAGTAGGAGTAGTAGGAGTAGGAGTAGTAGTAGGAGTAGGAGTAGTAGTAGGAGTAGTAGTAGTAGTAGTAGAGTAGTAGTAGTAGTAGTAGTAGTAGTAGTAGTCGTAGTGGTAGTGGTAGTGGTAGGTAGTGGTAGTGGTAGTAGTAGTAGTAGTAGGAGGAGTAGTAGTAGTAGTAGTAGTAGTAGTAGTAGCAGCTGTTGCAATCTGTTCAAAAAAGCGAACCTACTGATATTTTGGGGGTAGCACATATATATATATATATACACACATATACACACATTTGTATATACATACATACATACATACATATATATATATACATATACTAGGCTCACACATCCCCAAGCTGAAATTCCATCATTTGTACCTTGGAAAAGGACTACGAAGAGGTCGGCATTGAAACAGCAGAAGGCCAGGAGACTTCAAGACTTATGCATCTGTCCATGCCTTTTCGTTTTTGGGAAGCCTTGGCTGGTTGTGAAGTAGTCGGGTTCATTTCGAGGTTGTGATTTGCATAGTTTTAGGCAAGATGTTCTTGCATGCCCGGGATGAAGGTTGTCAACGTGCTTTTTCAAGACCACCTGTGCCTTCAGGTGAAGGCGAAGAGGAGGGCTACGGAGACGAGTTCTGAGGCGAACGGCCGACCCGAGGTTCATGGATTTCTTGAACGCAGTTCATAGCTTCGAGAATACACGAGGATTGTGTTCATGGCTTCGGGCCGTGCGTTCAGAAATCTCTCAGTGTTCCCACCTCCTGAGTGCAAGCTGCCGAAGGGCTTGGCAAGAGAAACCCGTCTTGTCATCCGCGATGGTGGAGCCTGCACATCACGTGATTGCACGAAAAAAGCTCGCTGTGGGATGGACATGGTCTTTGGAAGACAAGGGCTGTGAAGTGCAGGAAGGAAAAGCCGGCCTTAACCCAAGAGCCAACAGAACGAGTCGAAATTCAATCTTGCCACTTGGACGTTTCGAAAGGATTCGCAGGAACCGTGAAGCTTCAGAAACCCTGAATCCCATTCTCAAGGTGAACCAGCAGCTGGTTAAAGAAACAGATCTGAGGCCGAGTCCTACAACTCGGACTGTGACTCCTTCTGTGCCTTGGCAGGGTGTCTTGAGCCCGAGAGGGGTTGAAGCCTACGAGCGATGGCAATTTACATTAGCCGCCTGCAGCAAGCTTTGCTTGAGTTGCTAAGTGTAGGCTTGCACAGCTGGCAAAGCGATTGCTGCTCTTCGCGGGGGAGTGAGGCGTGGTGCGCAACCCGCTTCACCGCTTCCTTAGTCACTGGAGGCCGCAGGGGATTAGTCTTTCGAATCTTCCACCAGCTATTAGGCAGCATCCTCCCACCGTCGTTTTGGTGGGGTTTTGGGGTGCAGGGCGTCAACAGGGGTCTAAGACGGTCCAACGCTTTCAGTGTTTAGGGCTTTCTGTGCGCCCTTGGGCGACTCAAGCTCTGAACTACGCCGCGTTGTTGGCCCGGACAGGTGGAGACACGTGCAGGACAAAGCCGAGAAGTGTTCCGCCGAGTTCCTGGAAAATTACACGAAGGTGGGGTGCACCTTCGATGACTCCAAAGAGGGGACCAAACCCTAAAGGCTAGAACCACTGGGATGTCTATCGTCGGGACCGGGGTCCCCCAGAGGTTTGCAGAGTTCAGAAAGGCAGCCTGGACCGCTGGAACATGTCAGGAGAAGCTGACCCGGGCACGCGCACAAGACGTGCTGCTCGAAGACTGCCACTTCGTGCCGCAGGTGCTTTGGGTTTGGGGGGTTTCGAATGTCGCCTTTGAGGAACTTCGGTTCACAAAAATTTGGGGAAGACTTTCTGGAGAGGGTAGGCAGTTGAGCAGCGCCTGATAGAATCGGAGTGTAAGTATCACAAGCATTCCGTGATTCTAATCCATACGCCCCCGTTCAAGACCGAGCCTCCGAAACTTGGGCATCGCAGCTCCGACCCGGACTCAAGCCTCCACCTCCAGCAACAGGTCCACTACGCCTACAAGAAAGGTGCCCTGGCCTGGTTTAGTGATGCGGGATTCTTGACAGTATTCCACCTTGTTTCGGTGTCGCAGGAAGGATCGTTCTATTTATTGGGGTCCGGGAGCTGGCGACCAATTGAAACTGTGAGGATTCTTGACACATGTAAGATTTGCATGGCAGCCTGCAAAGCTTGAACGAAGTATGTCTGCCAGCTTGGTTACAATGTCCTTTAGTGACATAGCTTCGAAGTTTGACTGAAAAAGCCACACTCGAATCGGAAATCCTGCATCCGAAACTGCCGGATCACAATGCCAAAATGTCACCATCCTCAACTAGCAACCCCTACCACCTCACAATCTGGCAAGAGTCACCCTCCAAAACCCGACACCCCTGGACCCTAAACCTCTAAGAAGCCCTACACCCTGAACCCCAAAGGTGCCCTCATCGGCCCCGGCCCGGAGCCTTAAACTCCCAGACTCTCCGAGGCGACTCCTCCGGCCCTCGCATCTGCAAGCACATTCTCAAGCTCGAGGAGCTCAGAGAAGGCCGGGCCCCCCTGGCAGACTTCACACTTCACAGGCTGTGGTTCGGGTACATGGGCTTCAGGGGTCTAGGCGGCGATCCCAAACCGTATCCCACAAGGTTTCGACCTGCTCATGGCGAGTTACAACCTGACGAAGGTGCAGCGTGGTCGCTTGCCGTGCCCGCGGACATCGATCGTTTCGTTTGGATGTTTTTTGGGGACTGACAAGTTGGAATCCGCGAGCATGGCTCTTCAAGTGCTTCCTCACTCCACAAGTCGCGAGCCTTTGTAATCCGCTTCTAAAACGTCTCCGCTAGAGACCTTCGAGGTGAAGCTGGGCACGCGAAAAACTCGCACGAGCAGCTCAGCTTAAACATTGCCTGAATTTCTGAATGCCCTTAGCTTCGGCTCCTCATCCTCCACCGTTCTTTCGAGGCCCAGCTTGCAGCATCACCCCGACAGCAGCAACGCTACAGATGATCAAGGACCGAGGGGCGTCTGGCGGCTGTGAGGTTCTGACAGCTAGTTCGGCATTGCTCTTCGCGATTCCGTGCAGTCGCTGTCTCGGGACGCTCGTTCAGGGAGGTGTGCTCCGATTCAGGGTTTGGGGGCTTTTGGGGGTCGGGGTGCGAAAATCTGCCGGTCCAGAGATCTGTATCAACATGGGAAGAACCCTGCCGTGCGACATTCATGCATGTGCGAAAATTTTTGACAGGAATTCTATGCAGAGGACTACAAGGCTGGACGAGATCCGGAAATGGACGGAATACAAAGTGCTCGGCCACCGCACAGTCGCAAGTCGTAAGTTCGATGCGTGAGTTAGTGGTGGGATGATCTGCACGTCTTTCAAACAGTTCCCTTCCCACGGCGGGCGCCTCGCCCTCATAGTGTTGCCGTGTGTTACCGCACTTTCTGAAACAAAGGCGGCGTAGTGTATCGATCCGATCTCTCTGGTCCAGGCCTTCGGCTACTGAGCTTCCCAGTGCTGGGATGCCCAGGCGCGACGTTGGGATCAGATTTCAGGTCGCAAGGCTCGGGTTTTCATGCTGCGCCCCGAAGAACGATCACTACAGGGACCAGTATAGAACTAGGGTTGAGGGTTCAGAGTTTAAGCTTGTACACCGGCTTTGCGCGAGGCCTCGTGCCACAGCGCTGCCTGTGCTTGCAGATTGCGAGGCAGCCAAAAGACTTCTCCGATTGCAAAGTTGATTTCCTGTACTGCATAGTAAATGAATACGGTTGGTGCACGTATGCAATCATCTCATGTGTATTTACGTATGTATCTCCATCATTACCATTTATCTCTTTGTGTGTGTGTGTGCCTGTGTTTTGTGCGTGTGCGTGTTTGTGGGTCATTGCTTTTTTCTGCCTCCAGTGCTTCTGGCAAGCTCCAGCTGCCTCCGTGTTCCAGGCTGGCGTAACCGTAACCGCCAGAACCCTGCTCCAGAAATCGGCCCCCTCCCCAGGCTGATAGTGAAATGAGTGCCTCGGGCCTAGCGGCCCTGACCCCAAACCTTCCCCCGAGGCCTTTCAACTGGAGTTTGCATCCGCGATCGAATCGTGCCGAGGCCACCTGGCTCATGAGACCGAACCTGACCTGCCACAAGCGCGGGAGTAGCAGATCTGGGCTTTCAACTTTAAGTTTAAGGGTTTTGACAAGTGTTAGGGAGTTCCTATTTGGGTACCCCCTAGGAACAAAACCTCCAACCAGACTTGGAGTCTTTGCAATATGGCAGACAGCTGCAGAGACTGAGTGAGCGACCGTGTACGAAGCGGATGATCGTTCTAGAAGCTGAACTGCCTTAAACCCTGATGTTCTGGGAGCTTCAAGTCTGAGACACGAGCGATGCGCTGCCTTCTTCTGTGTCTGCTGTTGGCCAAAGTGGCTAAAGGATCTGGGAGCGACTGCGAGGCGGGGCGGCGGGGGGTGGAAGGTCCGAGGCCCAGGTTACGAGCTTTTTGAGTGGTTTACAGTGTTTACAGGTGGGAGGGGAGCTTCCTTCTGCAGGGGTTCGTTAGTCTAGGGTCGAAAGCTGGTTAGACTCTAGAAGTATTTCTTGATGTTCAGGAGCGGGCGTTGGGGGTTTTTCAGTCGAGCTGTGTACGGCGTCCGGCGGGTCCGGTCGATCGATTATCTGAACATCTTCGGTCCCAGGCGGCTTGGTGAGGAGTCCTTGCTCTCTGTAAAGTCGTACATGCATGTATACATAATATATATATATATATATATATATATACACACATGCATGCATACATGACTGAGAGCGGAAACCATGCAAGAGGCTCTACTCCGTGCCCCATACCCGGATCATCGGCAACGTCGGAAAGCTCAAAGCAAAGAGCGGTCCAGGCACCACCACGCGAGGTGCCGGATGCTGCCTCCCTGGTGCAGGTCCAAAGGCAGAGTGCGAGCGGGCAGGAGCTGCGGTTGAGGGTTCAGTGTTTTAGGCAAAGAAGCTACCTCCTGCCTGTAGACACCCGAATTGTACAGGTTGTCCCAACCTCTGATGCCGTTGCAAAGCACACGACCCAGGAACCCCATCTCTCAACGATGTTCTCCAGGAGGCCCGCAAGTCTTGCCTCTCTTTCATCCACATCCCGAAGAGCATGGGCGGCTCTGTCGAGGGCTCCATGATGAAGGCCCTAGCAACCCTCCAATCAACACCTGAAATGGTTTGACCCGCAAGCCGAAGCGAGATGTTGCGTGCCGATGTCCTTGAGTCTTTCTGCGGGATGTGAGCCTTCAGGGTTTGCAGTAAGGCAGTAAGGGTTATGTGCACCGGGCCCCCGCATGCGAAGCTCCCAAAGGGCCGAACGCCGACAAATAGTTGTGCAAAAAATTCAGATCTTCCGAGCAAGGAAGAGTAATTCCGATGGTCCTTCCTATAAACGGACTGGAGGAGGAGCGGTCGGAGCTTCAAGCGGCCGAGTTATCCGCAGCGTAGGGCTCTGAAAACCCCTTGTGAGGCTCTCCCATATCTGTCGCAGAAATCCGAAGCGTTGCTCGCCTCGGCATCCTGTTTGTGTGAAACGGCAGTTAACCCAGGTACATCAGAGTCCTCAAAAGGCTATCCCACTTTGGAGAACAGGGGCGCCACCACCTTCAGCCAAAACCCCACCCCCCCCCCCCCCCCCCAAAAAAAAAAAACCCTTTGCCATGCCAGGCCCAGGGCTACGAGGGCTACTGGGACTATCCGGGTTGTGCCAGTGCAGCCCGAGAGCACCTTGCGGAGGCACAGCTTTGCGTGGCGGGTTAGAGAAGGTTTTGGGGAAATCAGGGTTTCAGCATAATTCGAGCCTTCTGAAACCTCCCGTGCTGGCCCCGAGCACTCGACACCCTAAGTCGGAAGCCTTCTGCTTATTTCAGCTTGACGTTGCGAGGAGAAACGCTTCTGGGGCATCTGCGATGATCGTCTCAAGTGCTCGGAACCGAGGTTTGCGGGGCTACAAGCAGGAAGTTGTGGTTGCAGGGCTTCTGAGGGAGCCTGTGTCCGTCTGGCAGGTCGTCTTTGTGGGTCTGGGAGTGTGTGCAACCTCGACGATCAGCTTTAGAGTGTTTTAGGTGTGAGCATGTTTGGCGCCAAGTCCCTAACGGGTAAAATGGAGTTCGGCGGTAAGATCGCGACTCGCTTCACTTGCGAACTGGCACGCGGTGACCAGAGTGCATGAGAAGGTGGCAATGAACATGAGCCCGTGCTACCATGTATTTGTTGCTGTGCTACTCCTTCAAGTGGAGGTTCTGGCCGCGGCCAAAAGAGCAGAAAGAGCAGAATGAGAAGAATCCTTGGCCGAAGTGTATGCTTCCCAGCAGCCTCCCGGCGAGCGCGCCGGAACCCGGGCGGGGTCGGGAACTAGCTTTCTATCGTGAGTTTCCTCAGAGGTTCTTGGGACCATTGCATGAAGCTGATTCCGGGAAAAGGCTAGAGGTAGGAAGCATCATGTGCATGGCAGGCATAGATCGTTACGGTCGCGGTGATTCCGGAAGTAGCAGTCGCAGTCGCAGCGCCAACTGCATCAATTGTAAAAGGGGTGCTAGGAAAAGAGGAGCCGGCTCCAATGATCAGTGGTAGGATTAGTAGCACTAACCGGCGGCGATCGTAAGAACAGGACTCTTCAATGGTCGTGGTCGGGACTCGTAGCACTCCACCAACAGCACCTCCACTACCAACAGTGCCGTCTTAGTTGTAATGCCTGGGTAGCAACGAAGTGGTGCGGCATCCGGGAGAAGCGCCACACCCCCAGAGTTGTCGAGACGCAAACGCGACACGGCCCCCTTTCGGGTGCATTCGCCAGGCGGGACGCAGAAACGAACAGGTGAACAACGTGGCCCTGCTAGGACTAGCGATTTCGAGCGAGTTGAAGCCAATCTGAGCACAGGACTGGCCTGAGCACGATGTCCACCTCGAAACACGCTACAATTCTCACGGCACAAAAGTCTGGAGTGCTGCTGAAGTGTTGCATGAGGATGCCGACGAGCGAAACTGCGACACGATTCTTGTCGAACATGCGCACCCCGCTACAGCGGGAGCCGGGGGCGGCTTCGCCTACCGGGCGTGCGGCGTGCTCAACAACCTAGTACGAACCATTCTACACAGTTCTACACATAGCAGGAGGACTTAGCCAGAACCCGCAGCGTCACCACGCTGATTGAAAAGCACCAGTACAGTGTACAGCTAAGCACGCAACCACAAAAACAAGAGCTCGAGCAAGAGAATTGGCCCAGCTGATGCCACATCATGCGAATTCCCAACACCCTGAGCGCAGACCTCCGCAGGAGAGCATCCGCAACCTTGCGCTGAGAGCCGGCTGCAGCCCCTGGCATCTTCCTCCTGCCTTCGACCCGAGCCTGGTGTCGTGGGCATTGTGGGGGTTATGGAGGGAGGGGGGCGGGATGTCGTGAGATAAGACGGGGTCTGAAAGGGGATTTGGGATCGGTTTCGTGGGGCACAAGGGGGGGTCTGGGCTTGGATGCTTGTTCTAGGCGCTTGGCAGGCATGTCCTGCGCATGTTCTCTGGCATTTGTTGTTTATACTACTATCGTTAGCGCTTCTTACTACATGTTCATTTTTGCTGTGAGCTTGTCAAACCTTTAGTAGCTGGAGTCGACGGTTCTGGAGGCCGGTATGCAGAAGCGTGTAGCATTGGAGCTTGCCCGCAGAAGTCTCGGTATTTCGTGCCAATCCTTGAACTGGGCTGAGAGTGATATGATCTGAATACGGTGGCAATAAAGAAAGATGCAGAAGCAAGAAGCAGCCTCATCATCCCAAACAGACCCCTCTGCACCGCCGCCTGCCACATGCGAAATCCCGACGTTTTAGAGAATCTATTTCAAGTTTCACCTTGAACCCGTACCTCGAACCTGTGAATCGCAACGCTCGTTTCAATACTATTCAAAGGGTTTAACCCGCCCTCAGAGGTGAGGTACTTCACGGAGGAGTGCGATTCCTTCTGCATCGTGCGAGATCCCCTTGAGAGGATGATCAGCCAGCTGAAGTTTGTCTTCAAGTTGGATCAGGTTCGTAAATTACGAGGGGGACATGTCGGATTTCAGGGCGATGCCGCTCTAGTTCGTCTCCTCGGCTCAGCTAAGTGATCCTGGTGCTATTCTACTGCTTGGCAGTGGGCTCAGGCATGTTTGTTTCCTTCCACTCCATCCTATGCTTTCCTTTTCAGGCGTCTCTCTGAAGTGGTGCGCCTTGCAAAATCCGGTAGTTCTTAAACCTCAGCACTTCTCGAGCCTCAAGCCGCTCCCAGAAGCCCTGAGCTTTGTCCCGACCCTTTCGGAAGGTCTGCGAGCCGCAGAAGCTCGAGGACCTGACAAGGCTCGACGCTTCGAAGTTAAACGGCCATTTCCAGGGTGGAAGTAGGGTTCTCGGTGTTGCAGGTTCTGTTTGTTTGTGCCTTTCGGGCATGTGTGTTTTCAAGGACCCGAAGCTCTATCTAGCTGTGCCTGTTAACAGGATGTTCGTGGACAAGCTTGACCTCAAGCAAGATTGCCATGCAGTGCCTCAAGTCTACTACGTGTTCCAAGATGGCAATCCGAAAGCAGCACCTATCTGTCGCCATGTCTTGAAGCTTGGCGATACAGCGCAGGCATCATTTTGCTTTTTCGGAGCTGCAGTGGCGAGTGCCTTTTTTTTGGAGCTGATCTTCGACTCCGAACTCTCCCAACCTCAACTAAGACCCAAGCTCCCCAAGCACAAAGCCGGGCCCGATCCCGAAAACTGGAAAATCCTTCCCCGCCCTGAAAGCCTCAAGTCTTGAAGCTGAGGAAGTTCCACGAGGTGAACCAGAGCTTTCCGGCGCTGATGGAGAGCTACGGCCTCCAAGAGGCCCGGGGCACTTGGGGCGGGGACTTTCTTGAAGAGTTGAGGGGTTTTGTGGTTAAGGCATGTTTTCGGGTTTGCAGTTGGGGATGATCAGAGGCTACAAGGGCTAATGGGAGTATACCGTCAGAAGGGTTGGCAGGGGTTTTGGGTTCAGAGGATCTTCGTGTTCTCGGACCCCTTCGGACCCGATAGCGAAGTCAATGCACGTCCATCTTCCTCTTTCGGGGGTCATTCCTGCAGTGAAGGGGCTTGAATGTGAGGGGGTTCTCCTCATTCAACGGGAACTGGTCTTTGGATCAAGATAGCATGTGGTTTATGTTCAGGCTGTTCAAGGGCTGGGCCACGCAGACCCGGACTCAAACCAAGAAAAGCCAGCTTCTGGAAACCGAGAGCCCGGAACACCAATCCCCAAAGATTGGGATATGGAGGTTGAGGGTCCAGGGCTTTGCTTTTGGTAGGTGTAGCAATAGCCCTGATTTGCGAAGCACCAGCCCCAGAGCGCAAAACTTTCAGGTGAAGTTGCTCCGGACTCTCGGAGATCCTGTTTCAGAAGGCTTTTCATCTGATCGGTGCTGCTATGGTTGCGTTTTGTCGGCCGCAGGAGGTTCTGAAGTTGTCTCATATGGATTGAACATATGGACTGAAGCTAGCCGCATTGCAGTAGCTTCCAGTGTCCAAGGGCCATACACGAGAAAGAACGCTGCTGCTTGGCTCTTCAAAAATGGTGTCCGTTGCAACAACCTTGAGATGTCACCTTAAACCGTAGATTTGTTCTTGTTAATGCCAGTACTAGTACAAATCCTGGGAAAAGGGCCCACTAGAACCAGCGTGAGCTTCTGGCAGAGAGGTTTTTGCAGTAAGATAGTGTTTGGAGGCAGATAGCGCACAGAGTAGGAATAGAAACCTGGTGACAGTCAAAGATATTGACCTGTTTAGCAGCAATCCTTCCTTGCGCTCTGATAGCCCGTCTTCTCACGAGAAGGTTTTCTCCCATCGTTGTTTCCACATGAGACGTTTCAGATCTGATGAGAGGCTCCAAACTCTCACATCAGGTTCACTTGCGGGGTTTCTCGAGTTTCGCGCCCGTTACACGCATCTAAACAATGCCCCCCGGTCAGCTTGATTGGTGTACTTACCATCCCGACGTAGAAGTCCTGTCATCATAATCCTTATAATGGAAATCATGGTTAGAATATTTGAGGTTGCCTCTTGTCATAGCACATTAGCATCCTGTGCAAGGAGTACTCAAACGTCCGAGCTCCTAAGCAGACACACCGTTTTGCCCGGAGCTGAGATCCTGAACCTCGCAGCAACGGTCTTCGCAAGGTACCTTGACACCGACCCCGGCCACCCTCCGCATGGTGCAAGAGTTCTACGCCCAGGACTATGAGGCTTTCGGCTTCCAGCTCCCGAAGAGCACCATCTCACTCTAGACCCTGGAACCCCAGCAGAACTTCAGGGCCACGGCTTCCTCAAGCTCGGCGAAAGAACGCACGAGATTGAAAGATGCCGTGGTGCATGGCTGGAGGAATGAATTCTTCGCGTAGCATGCAAGGAAAAACTGCGAATCTAGGCAGAGCAGAAGCGAAGCCAGAATCGAGAGCTTTGCATTGCCAGTTGCCAGTACCTCAACTTTCACTTAGACTGTTTTTTAGCTCGATGAGGTCTTGAGAAGCTTCGAGGTAGTTGCTAAGAATATTTCATCCTTGACATTCTGCTCGTTGGCATTGTCCGTGTACACACGGCTTGTGTGGTGTTATGCCTGCAGCATAATCTACTTCTGTCACTTGGCCAATGTCGTGCTCGTTGACCGCCCTGCTCAAGTCCAGGTGGTCAACACGACATCTCTCTTGTTTAACCAGCAAGCCCACATGTGGAGCACAAGCCAACGTGCGCTTTCCAACAGGCCCTCCAGATTTTGATGCAGCTGAAGAGCACTTGAGTCAGCTGATAGGAGCCTCGACAACATTAGGATTAAGATCCCTGCCGGACTCCTCATCTAGCGAAGTTGCAGGCAGCAAGCCGAGCACTCTTTCACGGAGCCTGACCCCTTTAAGCTACAATATCTACAAAAACAACACAGTGTCGACACTTTTCATGTCGTCGCACCCTTCTGCATCTAGCCAATGCCAGCTTTTCATCTGAGCCCAGCCTTTTACGTTGAGCCATGTGGGCGGGTACGTGATGTGGCCGATCCGGCGTGCCATTTGGCAGATCCCAGGATCGCTGTGGATTTGATACAAGGAATGCAAGCGCTTGTTTCAGGAAGCCCAAGGCATAAGCAATTCGGTACTGCGTAGAAAGCTAGCATGGAAGCGGTTATACAGGTAGTGTTATTGTACCAAGGTAATGGTGGTGGTAATGATGATGATGGTGATGCTAAGGATCATCAGCACGATCAGAATCACTATTGTTGTTAATAAAAGTGCCCATCCCAGTTCTCGTCGCTGTCAACATCGTAACCGTCATCATCATCATCATCATCATCATCATCATCATCCACACCATCAGCATCATCATAATTATCATTCGAGCTTGGAACTTCATCATGATCGTCTTCTTCACCTGTAATGCTACTGCTACTGGTACTGGTAGTGCTACTCCTCCTGCTGCTGCTGCGACCCTTAATATCAGCACAAGTAGTACTACGACTACGAGGAGTTGCCTACGACTACAACTGGTGCTGTTGCTGCGGCTCCTGATCATCCTCCTCCACTGTTGTTCCTGTCGCTCCTGTTGGTTTTGCAGTTGGTGGTTTGCAGCTAATGCCACCATTGCTACTGTTGCTGCTAGCAACCGTTTCTTTTTCTGAGGACATGAATCCTTTCGACGTGATTGTGTCCGTTTCTGCGTTCACAATCCCTGTTCCCACGACCGTAACACCACGACGGTTCTCGAAGCTTAAACTTGCAAGAGAGCTGCTTCAAGCAGGCGTCGCCGAGCTTTGGCTGCCCACGCAGGGCCCGACCAGGTCACGGGCTCGGGCGAAATTGTGGTGAGCTTTTGGCTTTCGCGGTCTAGTTTAGGGTTTGCCGCTTCGAGGTCTTTGGAGTTTTGCCCGGGATCCCACACTCGGCTTCTCTGTCAAAGGTGCCTCGCGCCGCAGCTGAGATGCTCCGGGCACGCCAAGTGCTTGTAGCCCAGCCAATTCCAAGACGTTAAGACTGCAAAGACGAAGAACTTCTGAGACCTGGGAAGCGACGGGGGGCCATCTGGGAGGTGTCGGAGATCTTGGCCTCCAGGAAAAAGGCTGAGCCCAGCTTTCCTAAGGCCCTGACCTGAGCCCCAAGCCCTAAGCCCCAGAAGCCATGAAAAGCTTGACCCAGAACCCCCAACCACTTCAAAGCCTAAGCCACCAAGCCCCAAGGCGCCGGGTGGGGTCGGCGGCAGTTTGCTGCGAACGCTGCCGAGGCCTCGGCCAAGTGGTCGTGCTTGAACAGGTATTGAAAGGTGCATCCAAGAAAGGCCGGACGAGCACTTTAATCCGTTGAAACGAGGGCCGAAGTTCAATTCTTGGACTCGTAGCCGAGACAAACTCGATGCGGCATTTCTTTCCAGAACGAGACCTGCGAAGTCCGCTAGAATTCAGTCCATGCTTCAGCACGGGATCTTCAGAGCTTCGCGCATCAGTGGGTGGATTTTCGGCTGAGGGCTCGGGTTGTCGGTTTCGGGAACTGCGGGTCTGGTTGCACTTGATGCTTCAGGTTCCGAGTTGCAGAGTCGGACAGACGTTTCAGGAGCTTTTCCCCTTGAAGCGTCGACACTTCTCCTGAAGATTCCTGGCATGGAAATCCTGAGCCCTCAAAATCTGGTGCCCGAAAGAGGCATCAGCGCGCCCTCCATGGCAGAAATGGGAGGTGCCGAGAGCAAGACCTGTGCTAGCTTGGGACGCCTGGGCCCGAAATGGCTCCCCGGCAACTGTATGCTAGATGTTCTGGATTCTAGATGTCAAAGATGCCAACAAGGAGACCAAACCGATAGAAGTACTTGCAGAGATTGTGATGGTGACGAGGGTTTTCAGGAGGATGACGATCAATACGAAGCCAGACATGAAGATCTGGGCACATGATCAGAGGGCCGGCAAGAGGCACAATGATGATATCCGCATCAACGGTGATACAGATACCATTCTGTTCGTTTGCTAGCCAGACTGAAACATTAAATATCGCCAGAAGAGCCACACTTGTGGTTGTACTTGCCAATGACCTCAGTGCAAGCATGTCACGACAAGAAAGATGGATACATGGTGGCAACACTGGTGATGCTGATGATGGTCTCAGCAGTGTGAATGAACCCGACGTTGCTAGTGACGGTCGATCTCAGCAACAGCAACAACAGCAGTGTCAGCGGCAGCGGCAAAATCGTTATCGTCATCAGCATCAGCATCAGCATCAGCAGCATCATCATCAGCAGCAGCATCAACATCATTCATCATCCATGATCTGTGTCTCGTGTCAACACTGCAGGGCCTCTTGAAGAAACTCCCACATGTCTGAACAGGAGCACTGGCCGTCAGAGAAAGTCCAGGAGGGTCTCTGCAGTGGGCAGGTGATCCGGGGCAGGCCTGGGGGGCTGGGAAAATCGTGCATTCCTGGTAAGTAAAGAAACTAACAAGAAAGTGACGGCCACAAAGATGTGGTCACAGCAACCATTCAGGTGGCTAAGTCCCCGTAAGTCGTACGTCTGGAAGTATGGGAGTGGCGGCTTCTACGCATCTTTTCAGTCGTCGCCTCTTCTCTTCATAGCTAGTCTTTGTCGGTGGGGTACATGGAGTAGCTTGCTCCAGCTTCGAACCCTCTTTCTTTACTTGCGTGTGTGCGAAAGGTTTGTCATTTTTTGACATATTGAGGCACAGCATCTCTGTCCGTGGACTCGATGAGACGCAGTGACAGTCACTCCGTGTGCGCGCGCTTCAGTTTGTCTTTCGTCTTCGTACGCCCCGGAGTTGTTTGAAGTCATCCACGGACGGACTCTCCGTGCGCTTGGGAACAGTTCAGCGCTCCCGCATGCTTCAGGTCCTGGCTTGTTTAGCTCTTCCAAGCGTGCCGCGAGATTTTGTGAAGCTTGAATTTCCATGAATGCCGTTGCCCCTGCGGAAGGTTGCACGTGCCTTCATTTCAGACAGACACCGCCTACGTGGCATCGGCCTCGGTTTTGCTCTTCGTTCTTCAGCTGCTTCGATAGGCTGGAAACTGTTTGAAAGCAACGTGCCCACAGTTGAGCATTATTGTAGGATGGCGTTTTCCGGGTCCGGCAGAGCTTTCCGGGCTTTCTGTAGCTACCTTATGCTCCCTTCCTCGGTTCCGTTTTGAGGTTTGCAGGGCTCAAAGATCGACTCCTCCGAGCCATTCTCATTGTCTGCCTCTTGCTTTGGATATGTTGTCAGTCTCGATACTGCTTTTGGCATCATTGCTTTCGCTATCTGCAGCTGGTATCGCCCTGCCAAGCTTTGCTGCTTGCAGTTCAAGGCATTTGGCACCCGGAGCCGCCCCCCCCCCAGACTCTCAGCTTTTGCTTCTCAGCTCTGCAAAAACGCGCACACACACACAGACACACACTAGTTCGCAGCTGACCAGCTCGCCGGCTCTGAAGCTCCAGTCACGGTTCCTTATGTTGCTCGTAAGCCTCTGCCAGCAAGCTGCGGGCACGTACAGGTCGACACTCGCACGCCGAAGCGCTCAAAGTTGAAGCCCCAAAACCCTGAAACCCTTCGCCCCCGAAGCCCGCTTAGCAGCTCAGCCCTTCTGGATTGAGGTGACGGAGGCATCAGCGGAGTCCCGCGAGGCTCGTGGCCGCCCAAACTTTCCGGTACCAGAGAGTCGAGTTTACTGGGACGTTTGACCAGATCTTTCGACTTCCCGCTTCGTCTCGAGCACTTCTGGAGCTTGGAGCTTAAGAACTACTTTAGGACCCGGGAGGTTCCCTAAAGGCCTGACTCATGGCTCATACCCTTCCCCCGTATAGCTGCCAAAACCTGCAGCAGCGGAGCAGCAGTGGTAGGAGCGGGAGCGGCAGCGGTGGCGGTTGTGGTGGTAGCAGTAAACAATTGCCGGAGCAGTCGCAGCAGTCGCAGCAGTAGCAGCAGCTGCAGCAGCAGCAGCAGCAGCAGTACCGGTAGTAGAGTAGTAGCATGAGGTTCAGCATGTAGTAGTTAATAGTCGTCGTCGTGGTGGTGGTGTAGGTCGTAGTAGTACTAGTAGTCGTAGTCGTGGTAATGGCAGTAGCAGCATCCGTGGTCGTAGTCGCGGTCGTGGTGGTGTTGGTTGTGGTGCTGGTGGTGGTGGCGGTGGTGGTCGCAGGAGTAGTAGTAGTAGTAGTAGTAGTAGTAGTAGTAGTAGTAGTAGTAGTAGTAGTAGTCGTAGTAGTTGTAGTTGTAGTTGTAGTTGTAGTTGTAGTTGTAGTTGTAGTAGTAGTAGCAGCAGCAGTCGCAGTAGTAGCAGCAGCAGCAGCAGCAGCAGCAGCAGTAGTAGTAGTGGCAGTGGTAGTGGTAGTGGTAGTGGTAGTGGTAGTGGTAGTGGTAGTGGTAGTGGTAGTGGTAGTGGTAGTAGTAGTAGTAGTAGCAGTAGTAGCAGTAGTAGTAGTAGTAGTAGTAGTAGTAGTAGTAGTAGTAGTAGTAGTAGTAGTAGTAGTAGTAGGAGTAGTAGTAGTAGTAGTAGCAGCAGCAGTAGTAGTAGTAGCAGCAAATGATAGGATTGTGGCAGTAGCAGTGGTGTGATGAACACGGGCCTCGTAGAGTGTCCTTGCCGTGGCCAGGTCTGGGTGCCCGTGACGGGCTTCGTGGGCTCGGGTCCCGACGTTCCTGTTGCTTTCTGTCTGGGGAGGTCCTTTTTGTGCGCCGTGGAATCCGCGTGATGGTGGTGGCGGTGATGGTCGTTGGTTATGCTCTGCTATTACATGCCTGTGGTTAGACGATTTGACTCGTTCTGATCTGTTTTTCTACGCCCAAACACGTCCAGCTTAATTCTATCTCTCACGATGACCATGCTGAACGATGACGGCAAACCTGGTGGTGATGATAATGGTGGTCGCGATGGTGGTTGATGATGATGATTGTGGTGCTGGTGGGGATGGTGGCGGTGGGGTGGTGCTGGTGGAGCTGGTGTTGCTGGTGGTGCGGGTGGTGCTAGTGGTGGTGAGGTGAGTTGATGGCATGGTGGTTTCAATGAGGATGACTGTAACGATGATGGTGACAATGAAGGCTGTATTGATGACAATGATGGTAGCCATTTCTTCTGTTGCTGCAGCTGCCCCTGCTGATGATTGTGTTGCTGATGTTACCCTTAGCATTGTGATCACAACCATCAGTGTCAGGGTCATCTTCGGTCACGGCCCCATGATTCAGGAGTTTACGGTTTTGTTCTGGGGGCTCCGGGTGCAAGTAGTTCGAATTCGTCCTTTTTTTCGCAGATCGGGGCCAGATATGGGCTCTGTGGTGCTAAACAGATCCTACAAGTGCATCCCGGAACCTGAGAGTTTGAGGAAATTCTTGACCTCATAGCCCGAACAGGTCGCAACCGCGCCCTGCACGGCGACGAGGCCCGGGCAATGAAAGCGGCTGGAGCTTCGGGCCCCGCTTTGCCTGAATACCCAGTCACGTCAATGAGGACATGCATGAGACTGGCCGATGTCGTTGTTGTCAACGACCGTTGCGACTTCCAATCAGATTCTACTCGCTGACGGTCGACTTTTCTGACAAGGTCTGCTCGAGTACACGTAACAACGGGGAAAGCAGCAGTGGTGCGTGTCGCTTAATCAGGTTGCTACGAAGAGAAGCACGAATAGTACCTGTTTGCATGCTTCACATGAACTCCTCTCCATCCCAGCTTGGGAGAACTTCATGTATATACTGTGGTCTCTAAGCGGTAGACAAGCCCATGGAGACTCAACGAAGCACATTCCCGTGAGCGCGGCTCCGCTGCGCTCGACCTCTCCCTGAAACGACACCGCCCAAATCACTGACCTTGAAGCTAAGCTCCGAAATGCTGATGTCTGACGCCTAGTATTCCAAAGAATCCTCAATCATACAAGCAGAACCTAACATCGACGTCCTTCAAAAACAAGCAGCCTTGAGCCATGTGGTTCGTGCAAGGTGGCGGCGCTGCCACTTTGGAGCCCTTACCGAGCAGACGGTACGAAGAGCGAACCAGGCTTTCGCTCCATCATCATCACCATCATCAATGATCATCAGCAACGTTATGGCTGTCACTGTGATTATTGCGGGTATGACATGCTGTTCATTTCTGGAGACTGATCAAGAGAATTCCGGCGGGGCTTCGAGTCGTCTTACCGGCAAAAGCTCAAGAACAACCTTGAATGCTTCTCAAACCAATGAGATGCGATGCTCCGCAGATAATGTGACTTCCTTTCAATGCCTCCTCCACAGCCTTTGAGGGGCATGGGTTGCGAGCCCATACGACTAACAAGGCAAGGATTGCCAAAATCAACACACCATGGAATAAAAATCTACAACGGAGAGAAGAGCGGGACGGCAAACATGAAACACACATACAGAGCATAATATAGTGGAGCCTAGATCGGAAAATAACAAATCAAGCAATTTCAAGCAATCAAACTAAGACAGGGGAAACGCAGACCGGACAGCTCTCCCGCAAGCAAATTCATAAAAAACGTATTAAAACAGGGGAAGAGACAACGAGCACACAGTCGAACAATGCAAACCTAGGACACAGACCAGATCCAACCCCGAGAATGCAGCACATCAAAAACATGAGCACATCAGGACAAACCAGACCGGACCCCAAGAGTCAAGCCAACAGCAATGAATATCCCAGCAACAATTATGTCACATACCAGGTCACGAAACTGGAAAGTTAAAACAAACAGCGCAAAACCCGATGGGGAAGACTTCGGCCGGACCACCAAGGTTAAATGCACGAACACAACCTGGCGGAGAAATAGCACGGAACCTCCCCAAAGGCATATCATAATCATAGAAAACAATGGAAGCACAGACCCTAGGCCCAAAGCCCACCGATTTGATTTTTCCTGTCATGTCATCATTTGGCAATTCCGACTGCTTCACTGTATGATTCGAAGATGGGGCTAGGAAGGCATGTGTTCCGATGCCGTTGGCTTAGGGTATCCGGTCTCCGAAGCTGTCAGGGCCCTCGGTGCCGGAGCCACCACCGATACCTGCCCGGGGCCACGGGAAGGAACGGGCCAATGCGGGCTCGGGAGGTTGGTCCACGGTCTTCTGGTTTCGTGGTGACATCGAGAGGGGTGCCCCAAGGCGTCGATTCAGTCATCCGTTTTTTGAAGGAGGTACTTGCTCCTGGGATTGCTGGCCTCTGAGTGAAGCTTGAACCCTTTCAAACGCCGAAAGAGCCTTGATCGTAAGCCTCGACAAGTCAGACGGCCATCTAACAATTCGCCGAGGTTTACTTTGTGTTTGGGCCTTGAAGGCATGCCAGATATGGCAGATAAGGTGAGACACCCAAACCCACAACACAGAAAGCCCCCAATTATCCGATGTCGAGATGGAAGCCTTATATACATTGTAAGGTTGACACGCGAGTAAGAAAAGCGGATTCAGGCCCCCCCCCCTTCATCGCCTCCGCCACCGGAGCAGAGCTCGGCTGGGGCCCTGGCCCCTGACTTACCGGAGGCTTTGTGGATAAAGGACTTCGAGGGTATGCTTTGAGAGGCATCTAAAGGCTATCTGACCTGAAAGCCAGCAAAGGCTCGGGTGACCCATTGGCGGGTTGTTTCACCTGATGTGGTTAGGATCTTTTGCAGGGCTCGGATCTCGAGGCAGCTAGTAAGCTTCCCCTGCCGTGCAGTTCATAGCCCAATGTAACTGATTGTAAGGCCATCATGGTATGCAAATTGCAACGTCATCACTGGTCGCACGACCCTTTGACACTGCTGTTGTCAGCAGCCCGAGGCACTGAACCGGAAAGTCATGGCTGAAGCCCAGAGCTCTCGAAGCTCGAAGCTCCAATTTAAGCTCAGACCCTCGTTTCATCTTCATTGTGCCACTCGTGGCCCTGTGGGCACGTTGTCCAAGCAGCTTGGAACGTCTTATCAGCTCAGACTGGGTCCTTCACAACAAGATTCAATGGCACACTGACAAGCCATCCAGCCATATTTCAGGAGTACTGGGAGTTGAACTCTAAGTTCGAACCTTGGGTGGAACTTCTATGTTCGAACTCTGGGTTCAAGGGCGCGATCTCTTAGTTTAGAGTTCTTGAACTCCAGGTTCGGCTCTAAGTTGCGAACCCAGGGTTCAAACACCCCCCAAAAACCTATGCAGGAATCAGCTCCCTTGTAGACGATCTTCAATCGAGCAGAGACTCTTCTTCACAAGAGAGAGGCGGCAGTTCTTTTTGCGGCTTCTGGGCTCTGTAAGTGACCGTCGCGTCCCGCAAGTGGACATATCCCCCACCTATACCCCACCAAGACCCACCTGTAACCTATACCCCACCCATACTCCACCCACGCACATCTTCGAACACGTCGCGAAGGGTTCCCCAAGGAAAGGGGTCAACATGTTGTTTGGCCTTTAGGTTCCAGTGGCTCTGTCCAGACTCCTCGAGGCATCAGAGTCGCCGGGCTCGGCACAGCTCGCCCGCACCTAAGCGCTGGTGATATGCAGACTTGTTGATGCAAAGTTGGATGAGTTTGCGATGGATGCTGCTGTGTTTCGTTCAGGACCTAATTCGACTTCTTGCTCAGGGCTTGGGTCAGGGTCCTTGGGCTCGGTCCTCTAGAGCAGCACGCCCAAGACCAAGCTAGCTTGGGGCCTGCACCTTCCCCTACGTCTTGCCCGGAGTCCGCCCGAAGAACCCGGAAGTCCCCTTGTGTGCGCCAGCACCAGAGGCGAGTTTCCGCGAGGCGGTGCTGTCGCATCTGCGGGATAGTGCTCGCCCCAGAAGCCCCACCGTGGCCAGCAGAAGCAGAGGGCCCCGACAACCGCCGGGGAGGAGGGAGGATGATCGCCTGATGGTTATGGTCGGCGATGGAGTGATGATCTTGATGTGCGAAGAGCTTGAGATGGAGGTTTGGCAGACAGGTTCGGGAGGAATCCCGCTACCGATTGATTCGTGATGGGATGCGAACACGATCTGCGAGAGTGACTCCCAAGCGTTTGAAATCACATCATAACGGGCTGTTCCTGTGTGATCGAGCTTTCTATGCATGACCCTGAACGCCATTGAACTGTCTCTGCCATCGCGTAAAGTTTGCCGGAGCTCTGCTCAGAGCCCCGAGCCTGAGCGAAGTGCCGAGGTGAAGAGCAGGCCCTTCCTTTGACCATGCTGGGAAACATCGAGGAGGCTCAAGTTTGACGACCACCAAGAGTTTACGGGTTTACAAATTGGACCCGAACAGATCCCACCTGGCAGAAGGAAGTCCGGTGAGTGATTGTCAAGTCGGCAAAAGTGCTTTCAAGTCCGGGCTGACGAGTCGAGAACCAGCCGGCCCCATGTCGAAAACAGTGCGAACCCCCAAGTCGAAAACAGACAGCTTACCACTTCTATTATTCGGATTCTCTGCTTGAGAGTTTCGGGTTTAGGGCTCTTGCGGTTTAAGGTCAAAGTTTAGGGTTCAAAAGTTTGGGGTTCAGGGTCGTGCGATAAACATAAAGCTTAGGGCATATAGTGCTGAGGGCGTAGGTTTTGATCACCTCTGTGCGGTTTTCTGACTCCCCCCCAGCCTTGCTCTCCGACTCGCACACCCCTACGGGCTTTCTGACTCGGTCTTCCTGGTTTTCTGAGTTTGTGCATGCTGTTTTCGACTCCTTTTCCTGACACGGGCGTCACCCGTAAGTCCGGTTAAATTCATTTCACAGCGGCTCGTGAAGGTGCAGACCCTGCGCAAGGGTCTCGGAAACCTCCGCAAAGCCCTTCAGAAGCCGGAGCCCTGGTACTCGAGCGCCTCGGGTTTAAGGACTGGGATTTAAGGGTGGTTCTTTGTGAGCTTTCGGGTTCAGTTCGCCATCGAGAGCTTGGAGCTTTGTGTGGGTTTGATGTTTCGGGTTGCAGTTGGGGCAGTCGCGAGATAAGAAGGCAAAACCCTTATGTGGACACACCCCCACACACGTGGGCAGGTTTAGAAGGATCACGAGCGACTTTTCAATGCTGTATACAGTTGCCCGAGCCCGGCACTTGTGATTGCACTTTCCCTTGGGCCGCCAAGTCTATCTTGGAACCGATTTCGTCCTCAATTCAACAGTACGCGATATCGCCTTGCGGAAAAATTCCTTCAAGGTCGTACTTCAAGTCATCTGATCGTGGAATTGACAAGTAGCTCATTTGCAAGATTCCAACGTTTCGTCAGGCTGGAGGACGACGTCGAGCTCTTAGAGGTCCGACTCCGGATTGGGGCCTGCGCTAACAAGCTTTACGCTTTTTATGGGCCATGGGGTGGGAAGTCCTCCTGGGGGTTCTCTCCCGGCAAAGGGATCTAGCTCAGTGAAGGGCTGGAGGAGCCATCTGGGGATTTGGGACAAGGGCCTGCGCAGAACAGTTGATGTTTCCAGGCACCCTAAGCAAGCATCCAGGTGCCCAAGGGCGAAAGAGTGGGTCTGTGCGTGTGGGTATATGGGTGCGTGCGTGCTCGTGATTGTTTGCGCGTTTTCTTGTATGTTGCAGTTGCACGCGCGCCTAGCAATCTATCAAGCTTCATTTCTTGATGGTGATCCTTGATGAATCATTGAACGTATTTCACGCCACGTCAGCGAGATGCACAGTCTCAACGTCCCTTCAGACTCGACACCTGAGGTTTCGCTCTACGTAAGATCAAGGGGAGTACAATAACATCCGATGTTCGGAAAGGCCAATGAACATCCTAGCAGGGTCCACAGCCATCAGCAAGAGTCATAGATGATCTTTACAGATCCAGAAACCCCGAAGCCCCGTCGCGAAGGAGGGCGCTCCTCCTGAGCTGGTCGTGAGGTTGGGAGCTCGTTCTGTCAGAAGTCTGAAGGTGCCGTTTCCACATGTCAGCCGAAGGCTGCGCCCAGTGCAGCCGCCGGAGCTTCCGCCGCCTCCCCCTCCGCCACCAGCACAAGGCTGCAAAGATTTTGTTGCTGCCTCTGGGACCTGTTACTGTAGGGGGCTTTCGCAGAGCAGCAGGTGGAAGTCGAGAACGTTTGCTCGAGGGTGTGCTGATACCGAGAAGTGAGAGAACAGTAGATTCAGTAGATCCGTCTCGCCGTAGATAGTTACGTTGCTGTGCTCCAACCACGCTGCCCAGGCCGAAAACCTCGAACGCACGCACCATGGCCCCCAAAACTGAAGCCTTCTGAAGCCTACCCCTCCGAAAGCTCAGACACGGAACGGAAAGCTTTTGCGTCCTGGCCAGGTGAGCAGCTGAGCCTGTCGCGCCTGGGCCCTGAGCCTTTCGTTCGAGAAGCTAGAAGTGCAGGCTAGGGGTCTATTTGGGCCCGCAGCTCAGTGATGTAGCAGATTTCGTGTCTGCGGTTCACACTTCCTGGTAGTTCCTTTCAATTCAGTCTCTTCTGCAGCTTCTGTGGTTGCTGAAGCCACTGCCACAGAGTTTTAGAAGACACTGGTGGTATCGTCGCGTGGTTGAGAGTGATGTTCTGGCATGAACACTACCTCCAATGATCTCTCTGGCATTAGCGTTGTGAGTTCGTTGGGGAGCAGGTTGAGAAAGTTCTTGCGGGACACATCCGCATGTACAGTATTGCCACGAGCTCTATTCTGAGAGGACATTCGCGCAGGGTCCTGACGGTGTAACACATACGCGTAGCCGCGCAGCAGGCCTGCTGCAGGTCGTCGTCCTAGCAGCAGGAGCAAGAGGAGGAGGAGGAGGAGGAGGAGGAGGAGGAGGAGGAGGAGGAGGAGGAAGAGCTTCCTCGCCCCAGCCCCATATAGCTTCCTGCTCCCAAGATCCAAAGCTCCGTAGGAGAAGCTTCGCGAGGTGCTCGCTGCCGCGTGGTCGCAATCCTTGAACGCTCGCCGGGAGACCTGGCAGACAGAGCTGAGAGGAGGTCTTATTGGAGGACCAGGGCTTTCCTATCTCACGATCTGCGGCTACGTTTCCAGTGTTTCTCGTCAGCACTTCGCCGGTTAGTCGACCGAGCGCTCCGTCTGGGAGCTGTATGGAAGAAACCCATGCCGTTCTGAGTCAAGCAGAGAACTAGACAAATATTTAGGGCACTTGCTGTTCGGCTTCTGAAACTTCATCCGAGATGTGAAGCGTGATTGCAAATGCTTCGCCCACTTCTGATCGGTTCAGGGGAAGAGTGTACGGCCACAGCACAAGTAAGGACGGAGAAAGAAGGGTGGGCAGCGAGAAAGGGGCGCCCGCGGGGGGATGTCAGAGGGCTTGTGTCAGATTGCGGACGACGGACACCCGAAATCCAGCGAACATGAAGTTTCAAAGTTGTGCAACTCCCGAGGCCGAAGATCTTCAAAGAGATCGTCGCTGTGGTGTCGACGGGCAAAGACGAAGGCTCCACGTAGTCTCGGCTCGGAGAGGAGAATCCCCTTGCACCCCTCTAAGAGTCTCCAAGTGTTAGTCAAACACCAGACGTCTACACAGCACTAAGTCACTAAGTGCTAAAGCCCAAAGTGCCTGTGCCCTGTAGCACTGCAGCTCGTATTCCGTTTTCATCCTTCTGTGGCACCGAAGAAGAGGCAGCTCTATTGGAGTTTGCAGGCGTCGAGGTGCAGGATTGCATAATTAATAAGGACACTTCAGAGGGGTGCAGGGTTTAGTTGAAGTTTTCCGGACGTGTAGCTCTCGCCTCCCCGGGAACTCGCCTTCAGAGTTTCTGACAGAGGTCACAAAAACTTGTTTCCGCTCCCTGGTTCAGCGAGCCCGCAGCTCTGAAACACGAACTAAAACTTCAGCTCTATTACCACTCCGTTCCTTCTCGTAGTTACTCTTCAAGTTTGCTTCCCGGTATGTCATTTCCAGGAACACCGCTCGCGGAGGAGCCACCGCTCAAGGCCCACACATATCAGACTTCTGACACAGTTGTGCCTCGTTCTTTCCTTCCGAGACCCGAGACGCATCAGTGTTATTCTTAGGTTTTGGCATTGCCGTCTGTGCCACGGTCAACCATCCTCATCACCACCATCATCATCAGTGGCACCGGCATCTGTTTCATCATCATCATCATCAGCAGCATCAACATCAGCATCACCCTCACTATCACCATTACATCATCACCACTAGAGTTAGCATACCGACATCGCAAATAAAACATTATTTGTACCGGCCTCACTACGCCGAGTCTTTGCTCCCGTTCCTAGGCATGATTCAGTTTGCTCTTGGGGTGCGGCGCATAGCTTCACCTTTATTTGAGGATGTCGTGGGACGAAGATTCCTGTGCTTCTGTGAGCCTTGAAGATCTCGTAGCAAGGCGGACAGGGCCAAGAGCCCCAAACGGGCTCAGCACGACACGGTCCTTGAATGTTTGATGATGTAGAAACTTCGATGGCTGTCAGGTGGAATGAACTGTGATCAACTGTAATCATAGTCAAGCCATCAACAAGTCTGAGGAGCATCCGGGGCTACGGAGACTATGGTGGAAGCCCTGATGAGACTATATGTTCTATCGTATGCAGCAAGTTCTTTGAAAAGAACCCAGAGGTCATGAGTCCGGACTCTGAAGCCCTCAACCTCAGATATCCTGCATATACTCTCTGCCACAAGCACGCAAACTGCAGCCGTAAGCGAAAAGCCTCCAGCTGTTTGACCTCGAAATGGCAAGCCGCTTAGGGCCGATGACAAACCCTGCGAAACGACAAGAATCCCGAAAGCTCAAGCACCGAAGTCCTCAGGGCCAGCCCCGCGACCGGCGGCTGCCGGCCTTTTGGCTGACGCACCCCCAAAAGGGCTCGGAGCGCGGGCTCCCAGCATCTTGCTGTCGGCGAGATTGGAGGGTCGGAGAGGAGTCTACATCCAAACAGCCATCAGCGTCCCTTGACCTGATTTTGATCTGATTTTCAACATCTCACCCTAAATGCCGACGAGTCCGTGGGTTTCTGCTTGGCTTTTTGCCGCAGACAACCGCCTAAGACCCAATCTGCCCTCCGTGTGGCCATGGATTGTCAAGCTACGCAAACCCGAATCCGCTACACGGAGCCAAAGACAAGATTGAACCGCTGCGTTGCCGGAAAGGTATCCTTTTTCTAATGATTCTCGATTTGGTTGTTCTGCCTGGTGATTCGGGTATTGTGGTAGGATTCTTGTTCTTGTTTTTCGTCTTCCATCGGGCGTCCCAGGACAAGGACGGAAGCCGCGACGATCCGAGAAGAAAGTCGCCGGCAAAAGCGTCGGAAGGCTTCGGAAGCAATGGGGCGGGTATGAAACACACACACACACAGATAATAGATATGTATATGTACATATATATATATACACACACACACATGCGCACGAAAGAGCTACCCCCCTCTGATACCGATACATTCATGCATACTGACCGTTTTGCAACTCCTCCTCCTCCTCCTCCTCTTACCACTACTACTGCTGCTGCTGCTGCTACTACTACTACTCCTACTACCACTCCTGCTGCTGCTGCTACTACTACTACTACTACTACTCTACTACGACTACTACGACTACTACGACGACTACGACGACGACAACAACAACAACTACTACTACCACTACTACTACTACTACTACTACTACTACTACTACTACTACTACTACTACTACTACTGCTACTGCTACTGCTACTGCTACTGCTACTGCTCCTGCTCCTGCTCCTGCTCCTGCTCCTGCTCCTGCTCCTTCTCCTGCTCCTGCTCCTGCTCCTGCTCCTGCTGCTGCTGCTGTTACTGCTATTGCTGCTGCTACTACAACTACTACTACTACTACTACTACTACTACTACTACTGCTCCTACTACTATTACTACTACTATATATATATATATATCCTGTTATTTTATGAACGAATGGACATGTATGTACATGTGTATGCGTGCATGCATGCATGCATGCATGCATGCATGTATGTATGTATGTATGTAGGTATATAGGTATGTAGGTATGTATGCATGTACGGATGTATGTAGGTATCTTATCATGGTGGCTGTTTACTGAGCGAACAGTTAGCATTCTTGAAATGCCAGCCAAAGGCTGCCTCAGCAACGCAACACTCTTGCAGCGTCTGAAAGAAAGTATGTCTGTATGCCTGTGTGTGTATATGTGTATGTGTATGTATGAGTATTTTCAGAGGTAGAGGCATAGGTATAGGTAGAGGCTGAGGTGTAGGCATAGGCATATCATAGATTTTGATGTAGATATAGATCTAGATACAGGTAGAGAGATATATGTGAGATCTACGCAAAGCTTGTCGTTCTTGTGGGGGAGCTTCCTTTCCATATTTCTGGGTCGTCCTCCTGTTGTGTCTGTACACGGGGCCTGAATCACGTGCCTTCAGTCCTAAACCCTGAAGCACGTGAAAACGTCAAGCCTTGAAAATCCTTGAATCACATCCTAAGCCTTCACACTGCATGCTCCAAGCCTGAAGTCATGCCATGGGAAATTCCGAGGGCCGCTGCAACTCAGGGCTTGGGTCTCTCGCGCACGGCTCGAGACTGTTGATGAGCATTCCTTCGCTCAAGGACTGCAGGACGTCGAAAGTCCCTGCCAAAGCTTCTCCAAATCCATTTCGATCCTGTCGAAGGTTTTGGACGCACTGAACCTGATTTGATTGCTTGGTTGGTTTGGGAGTTCCTTTCAGCCCGGACAGATGGCGAGCGAAGCAGCCGCCGAAGCACGCGCGAAGGGCTGTGACCTCGGTTTAGCATCGTTTCCGTGGATTGCCATGAGTTCTCTCCGACGGCCAGACAAACTCAATCTATACATAAGCACGTTGTAGAAGTTCGTTGAGGCAAAACTCAACCCAGGGTCTTTCTGCATATGAGACCAGCTTGGCTCCAGCAATAATAGTCTTGGCAGCCGTTGGAGGGAGGAGGAAAACAGCGGCATCGTGGCACAGCAGAGAAGCTGAGACCACTCACTCAAGCTGAAATACTCCCTTTTCCAACAACCTTTGCTTCGGTGATTAAGATACTGCCTGCTGCTGTCGCTACTGCTCGTGTGAATGATGCACATATTCTTCAATGCTGTTGTTGCATGCGGGTACTCCTCGCAGAAATATCATACCGCGGCCAGGCCTGTCACGCTCTGCCCTTGTCGCTGCATTGCAGAAGGCACTGCCATTGGAAGCTATTTCGTTTATGCAGGATTGTTTGCGAGTCGCCAAGAGCGGCACGTGCAACTTCTTGGCATTGGCCTGCGATCGGTCAAAGGCTCTGGGTCCTTGGTAGGTCATCCCAACCCAGCACCGAACCCTTACAATCGGAAGTTGTCGGCCAAAGCTCTTGTGGCTGTCGCGTGCTCATGAGCACTGTGAAGCTTGCACGGCTGCTTTTTTGTTCGTAAATCTTCAAGTGACGATGTGAGCACACCGACGTTCAGTCAAGCCCCTGTAGCCCTGCGAGAGCATGTCTCTGAGACTCCTAACCCTAGACACTGATTCCTTGAATCCACGAGACATCAAGCCTCCCAGAGAACAGAGTACAGCCAGGCCTCCAGCAGTATCCTTTGCGAGCGGCGCTGAGCTTGTCGCGATATTCCAGTCTTTTCGTTTGGGTGTAAGTTCCGGATAAAACAAGCATGCCAGAGTCGACATGAAGACGCTGCAGGAGCCTTTGTTGAGACCTGCAAATATCGAGGGCCTGGCAGGGTGCTTCGTGTAGGAGATGGGTCAGGTTCCGGGCAGCCGCTCCCATGCGATGCAAAACACTCGAGACTTCTGGTTCAGAGCGGATCTCGCAGTTGTTACCCTAGAGCGAGCCTCAACTTGCAAGACTCCCAGAGGCCAACCCCAACTGTGTACTTCTGCCAAAGTCTGGTCCCAGCATCACATGAGACGACTTCTTCGTTGTGAGGTTCTCCGATTCCAAGACTGGTACGAAACCAAGCTCATCTGGGGTTTTGCTTGGGGTACATTCATCCGCTACGGGTAAGAACGGCAACAACACGACAAGCAGTTTTGGCAAGAGAGCCACTCGTAGCTGCCACAGTGCAGATGACAAGCATTACAGCACTGGCAATAGACTGAATTTTCAGCACAGTTCACCGACTGCGATTGACAGCAATTTCAGGTACGATAGCTTCCTAGAGCTTCGCCATGCGTCGGTTTCCTGTTCTGCGACCCGTGCAAGACAAATTCGTATCTCAGTCTTCTGCCAATACCAAGGTTGTAAATCTGTAAAGCCTGCAGCCACAAGGCCCAGCGCGTCCCTGTCGCCGCGTGCCGAACTGGTGGAGGCAGCAGCTGAGCTTTGATGCTAATGACAGCTAGAACAGTCGCAACACGTTCGAGTATCCCAGAGAGGAGACCCCGGGAAGTGTCCGAAGCCTCAGTAGACATCGAGCCTGCGAGATCCTTGGGCCGACGGGCAGCCTGGAAGCCGAGTCGGGGAGCCCCAGCCAAGCAGGAAGCAACGTGAGGTCCAATGCACTCTACTGTCTTCCTTGTTTCGAGACCCCTCAAGATTCTAGTCATCCTAGTATAACAACTCCGGCTTCTTCACAGTGGACCGTGACGAAGTCAGCCGAGCAGCGTTCGTCAGCTTCGAGCAGAGACTCGATCATCGAACAACTTTCACCCTCCAAGCCCCAAGCTCGCAGGCTTTAGCAAAGTTGGCAGAAGTCAGGGTTGCGGACTGTTGGATTTGACGATGATGCGAGGGCCTTGTCACCGGTGGAAAAGCCCTTGCGATCTTTGAGCCCTGAGCCGCTCTGAGCCGATCTGAGCCATCCCAGGGCGCAGGCGCTGCTCACCTTCTTCGGCCTGGACTGGCGACCCTTTCCCGAGGTTGGGGCCTCCAAGTCCCAAATCCAAACCCCGAGACATCTCGAACCCCGAGGATGGGGCAGCGCATTCCCTTTATTCGGTGAAGGATTGTGGGCAGCGCAATGCATATCAATAACAGAGGGAGATGCAGGACCAAAGCTTCGATGAACCAGCCCTTCTGTGCAAGCAGCTTGTGAGCGTTGATCTCTCGGTGAAAATGTACTCATGCTTCCTGTTTAACCTGATATCAGACTACCACAGATCGCCAAAACCGGCTCGTTTTAGGCGCAACTACAAGATTCCTTAGCTTGCGTGCTCTCTGGAACACCCTCGAACTCGGTTCCGGAAAGGCACGCTTTCAGACGGGCTCACACGGTGAACAAGCCTGAAATGCTGAACCCAAATCAGGTGAGTAGTAGAAGTAGTTGTCGTCATGGTCGTCGTCGGTATGTATGTAGCAGTATGTAATGTAGCAGTCGCTGTCGTTGTCGTCTCTTCGTCGTCTTAGTCGTCGTCGTAGCAGTCGTCAAAGTGGTCGGAGTCGTAGGAGTAGTCGTAGTCGTCGTAGTCATCGAAGTCGTAGTCGTAGTCGTTGTCTGTCATGTGTTTGTTCGTTTTGTTTGTTTGTTTGATTGACTGTTTGATTTGTTGTCTGGTTTGCGGTTGTTGTTGTGGCACCCTGACAGCTGAACTGATGGTAGTCTGCGGGCGCGACTTGACGCTCATGTCCATTTGCGAGCTTCGGCGTGCATTGCAAGTTATCCAGCAGGGAAACTCCTTATCTGTGGCAGTGGCAGTCCAACCAAGAGGCTGCTAACGATCGCTGAAATGAGTTGGCGCTTGGTTCACGTACCTGCGAGACCGTATTGGCTTGTGACATCATCATCATCATTTCAGCTGTGCGTTGTTTTATTCTTCAACCGGGTTATTGCGCATCAGCCTTGTCGGAGATCTGATATGGTCAGGCCAAGAATCCCATGCAGGACGTGGTTTTCTCATGTTTTCTCAGGATTTAGCAGATGACGAAACTATGGCAGATCGAAGTTCCAACCATGATTGTAACTTATAACACATCGCACCCATCCTACCCGTTGTCGTCGTCGTGGTGGTGGTTGTTGTTGTTGGTGTTGTTGTTGCTGTTGATGCGGCGGTTCGTAGGTGTTTGCAGCTGTAAAGCCCTTACCTTGAACGCATAGGGGCATAGCGTCGCACCGCTACAAGCGAGACAGAAACCCGTCAGGAGGTTGAGCAGGAGCTGCGCAAACAGTTCCCTTCTGGGCCGGCACCCCAACAAAAATGTGTGCTTTCTTGCTCAGGGTGTTGACTGCCAGGAAGACGATGATGAGGGCGGCCTGGATAACGAAGGTGATGTTTTGCGGTGGAGTTGCTGCTGCTACTGATGATGCTGACGGTTATGACGATGATGGCGAGGATGCTGTACGTGATGATGTTGACCATTTTGGTGATGCTCATGGTGATGTTGTCACGTGCCTCCACAAACCAGTTGGTGCTGATGTTGGCCATGTCTCAATCTTGAATCCGACAAGTAAATAGATATGCAAATTCACGAACAAATCGAGAAACACATAAAAGGTTAACAGGCGCACTTATAGTTATAAGTAAGTAAATAATACATAGAAATAAGTAAATGTATAGATATAAATATGAATATTGATTAATATTAATATTAGTATCAATATTATAGGAATATATATATATATATATGGATATGGATATGGATATGGATATGGATATGGACATGAGTAGATACGTAAATCGAGATATAGATGCAGCTATAAGTATAGGTTTAAATGTACAGAACACGAAACGTAAGTAAGTAAGTAAGTTAGTAAGTATGTATGTATGTATGTATGTATGTACGTGTGTGTATACATATTTTATGTTGCTATTCAGGCATGCATGCTTTGGGCATGTTCGTCCGAGATGGTGGTGATGTGGCCCGAGTACTTTCTCACAACTTGGTTGCGTTGCTCCACAGAATCATCTATTTCATCCGCAGCGCTGTCTGGCGCGGTCCGCTGCACCGCCGAGCCTCCGACGGAAGATTCCCCCCCCCCCCCCCCCCCCCCCCCTCCCGCCCCAACCTCAACGCCAGGGATGCCGTGGTTGCTGCGGAGCTCGCTGCGGGACGACGGGACCTGCCCGGGAGCCCGGTGATGTAAAGAGGTGCGACGAGCTACCCGGCGGTTTCATTGGTCTCTGCGGCAGAAGGGCCAGGATAGTTGTTGGGCTGTCACATATTGGTGAAGCAGGCTCTTGCTGGACCTCTTGTGTGTTCAACATAATGCAACTCAGCTGGAATCTCTTGATCACAGGGAGCGTTCCTAAGCTCGCCAGAGCCCTGATGCCCGAAGGCGGCGGCTCCGCTGTGCGACCATCGATCCACCGCATGCGAAGGAAGTTTCTGCGCCTCACCGCAAGTGGTGCGAGGTGTCAACTTCACTGCTTGATTGAATCGCTCAAGACCCACATCTCTAAGCTCGAAGGTTCTGGATTCTATAGCTCCAGAAGAGTGTCACTTACCATGTCAGGGCCGCAGTTCCGCCTTTTTAGGGCTCAGCAGCTCAGCACGACCTCCAGCAGTTGCCATTCACAGGACCTGGACGATGCCTTGTCAGCCAAGCTCGCCATGCTTGCACATCCTCAGAGTTGCAGGCGTTGCAGAGGCTTTAGCTGTCCTTGTCCTGCAGCGACCAGCATGGAGAGTCAGCCTGCATGACAGAAGAATGCAGGTTCTTGCACAAGCCGTGGGGCTGCTTCTGCACGTGGTACCTTAGGCTTCATGAAGCTGGAAGGCTTGGTAACCCAAGGCCCCTGGAACCTACAATGAACCGAAGGCAGAAACTTGACCAATGCTTCGGCCTTGCTCGCTGTTCATTTTTTACATCACCAGTTTTGGCAGGACCCCAAATGCTTTGTGCACTCGTTGAAAGCTCAAAACAGAAGTACTCCCACCTCTGCCTCTGCTTGCTTTTTGTTTCTGCCTGCGAAGGGCCTGATGTCGAGACCCCATCAAGGCTAAGTCCAGCGCCCAAATGCAACGTGTGGGGCAGACGGGTAGACAGCACTCAGGGAGCTCCAAACCCTATACATCCTTTACAAAGTTCTCAGCCTTTTTGGTGACCGGGCTCATACTGCCAGGTCCAGCCAGGACCCACGCCAGGTTCAGTGCGAGTCTGTTTCTCAGTTTTGGGGTAGGGAACGTTCCCAAACCCTTCTCCCCCTTGCCTTTCGCCCGAGGCATCTCCATGAGCATACAGTTTCCGAGCTGTGAAGTTTCTTGTGCAAGCACGTATACTACAAGCAGGTGTTAAAACTTGGGGCTTGCTTGCCGGTGGGCCGGTAGGATCGAGGCCGACAATTCGATTTTTACAGGCCTTAAGGTTGATCCTGCACATGGCATGGGACCTCAGACAGAGTCTGAATCATCTTCTTCGCTGCTCTCTCATCATGCATTCATACACCTCGAGACCCTCTTTTACTTGTTCAGGTCCCTGCAGACTACATTAAGTGACAACAGCAAAGGAAGGAATGCCCTACACCACCAAACCCCCTGAGCCTGAAATGTTGGAACCCGCTGCTAGCTTCAGCGACTCTTCACATAAAATGCGTCAGAACCCCGAAGCCCAAGCCAGGAAAGCCTTGAGCCCTAAGTACCCCTTTCCAACTGAAACGCCCAAGCTCTTGACCCGTCGTGGCCATTTCAACGCGCTAAGGTCGGCGTGCACATCGCCGATGTAACTCACTTTGTTCGGCCCGGGAGCGCCGGATCCCCAAATTGAGAGCCGCTGCCACCGCTATCTCTTCCCCAAGTGAGAAAAGCCCAGGCCACGGACCTGCTGGCCAGGGAGCGGGCCACCACCGTCTACCTGGTATCAAGGCAGGGGCCGGCAGGTGTCTTGCTCCTGTTCTCCTTTCACATTCCGATCGCCACAATCATCATCGGCGTGGTTCGGGTTTCTGAATTTCGTGAACGCATTTGGAAAAGATGCGATAGCATCCGGAGAAATGTCAGTGTGATTAATATCTTCATCGCCACCAGTAGCAGCATCAACTTCGCTGCAGCCTGATCTGAACTAGCACCTGTCATCGCATCATCACCATCATCATCACCACCATCATCGATCCTTGCATCCCGAAACCCTGCAGTTTACACCCTCGACTTGAACATCAAACTTTGAAGCCCAAAGTCTTAGACGGCGAGAGATGAAAGCCGCGTGGGAGCTGGGGGGGCTAGGGGTTCTGGCTTTTATCCGAGGTCGATGCCCCTTATATCAAGGGGCGCACCTAGCCAGATATATATGATGTGACCGTGGGCCACAAAGCTTCAACTGTGCATGATGCCGTGGCTCAGGTCGTACCCTATGCTTCCACGCTGGTTGAGCTTCGGCCCTAGCTTGCGGGTGCTTGATCTCATGCGACTTCGGACTTCGGCTCTTTTCAATTGCAAGATGGCGAGGTTTCCGGACCTCTTCAGCTCTGTAGCTCCATACAATTTGAACGCCTGCTTTCCCGCCGTTAGCACTGAACATCCCCAAACCGCAGGCCCTTACGCCGAGGTTTTCACACAAAGATCGGACTGAGCTTGATAGGGGCGATGTAGGTGCATTTCCTTGGTGTTCCACCATGTGTTCTCACCTCTATCGCTGATGTAAAGGAATCCTAGCTTGCCGACCCAGCTTTTGAATAACAGCGGCGACTCGACGGCTCGTCTCTTGCTCGTGAGGCGAGAATTTGTGTTCGTTGCTCCCGGACGGGGATCGGCCGAAGCCCCAGACAGGCTGCTGGGATAATTGCAGCACATCGACTTAGTAGGGTTATGTCTGCTACCAGTACCACCGCCACCATCCATTTCATATAGTCTTGCATCATCGCCAATGAATTGTTGTGATACGCAGGATGATTGTAGCAGTAGCAGTAGCAGTAGTAGTAGTAGTAGTAGTAGTAGTAGTAGTAGTAGCAGTAGCAGTAGCAGTAGCAGTAGCAGTAGCAGTAGCAGTAGCAGTAGCAGTAGCAGTAGCAGTAGCAGTAGCAGTAGCAGTAGCAGTAGCAGTAGCAGCAGTAGCAGTAGCAGTAGTAGTAGTAGTAGTAGTAGTAGTAGTAGTAGTAGTAGTAGTAGTAGTAGAAGTAGAAGTAGAAGTAGAAGCAGAAGCAGAAGCAGAAGCAGAAGCAGAAGCAGAAGCAGAAGCAGTAGTGGTGGTGGTAGTAGTAGTAGTAGTAGGAGGAGGAGGAGGAGGAGAGGAGGAGGAGGAGGAGGAGGAGGAGGAGGAGCAGGAGGAGCAGGAGACAGGGGCAAACTGTACCATGACCCCACGGCAAGTGTTCTCACGAAGAGAGAAAGACAAGAGAAGCAGACAATTCGATGAGCAGTCCAGATTTCACGGGCACCAGCTATGAACAGTACAAGCCAAGTTTCGAGCGGGTCTAGCGTTTCTTTTTGTTCGTTTTGGATTAAGGGATTCTGTCATTTCGGCGGTTTGCACTTCTTGGTCATTTAAGGTCAGAAGCGTAATGTCAGAGTTGCAGGGCCGACCAACTCCAAGCATCGGAACTTGTAGGTCCGGATTTCGAATCGTCGTGTCAGTTCGGAACATGGCATGGGAGGCTTCCTGAGAGAGCAATGAAACTCAAAATCCCGAAACCCTAATTTCGAAAAGGTTGTCCTTCTCTGTTTTCTTCACGGTGCTGCCCGACGGCAGCCTGTCGCCTGACGACCCACCCGAGATGTGCAGGACAGCCCTTCCGAGTTTGCAGGGGTTTGGGGTTCGGACAGGGCTTCTGAAAACAAGTACGGCGATTAGATTTTTGGGATACCCATTCTATACGGCTCTCGGGTATTTCTTGCTTTGTTGGGGATGTAGGGGGTTGCCCCATCGCCTGAGGCACTTGGACCCTGGGCCTTAATCTCCCCAATCCATGATCCCTCATATGGGAGTTTCCGAAAATGGGGGACCGTAACATAGTACCCTATACAGTAGGATCCTTATTATAAGGACCCTAAAGTAAGGTACCCCTAGTTTTCGGAAACGCCCATATCTCGGAGGGCCGTCATCCGCACCCGGGCAAAGCTGAGCTACACAATGGTCGGTGCACCGAGCCCGCTTTTTTTTGGGAGTGCGGGCTTGGGGTGCAGGGATTTCCATGGTCTAGAGCCTCGGGTCCAGTGTTGAGCCTCAGCGCAGCATTCTGGGCAACGCTAGTCTGAGCGGAAAGGTGCAGTGGCAAGCATTTGCTTGTCTATCATGTTGTCACACATGGAAAATCCATTATAGAACCCATAAAGCAGACCACTAAGGACCCCGTAAAGCCCATAAACTCACAGAACCTTGCTCTTCACCTGTTTCTTGACCTCCTCCCTTAAATCAGAGTCCTATCCCAAAGCCACCTTCTCCCGACAAGACGGCCAAGGTCGACGCTGCATTGGAGGAGACGGGCGACCCAGTTCCAGGCCGGCTGAGACTCGGCGTTTGGTGGCTCTTGGGGTCTTATGGAATTTTGGGGGCCTAAATGATTACCACTCCTGTTTTGGGGGGTTCCTTAATTTACTTGTAGCATAGTGGGCCCCCGAACCCTATTACAATGGATCTCGGGGTGTTATGGTACGATAGGGGCCTTAACAATTACCAATACTATTTTGGGGGTTCCTTATTCTAATTATAGTATAATGGGCCCCCAAACCCTATTCTAATACTGAAGGCCTGTATACTATTACACCTGCTGTACAACAACATCCGTGGCCTTGCCCATGGAGCCTGGTCAGGAATCTCCTGTGGCAGTGGGTGAGGGCGTTCTCAAACCCTGAAGATCTTGCATCGCCTAGAGCGAGGCCTTGCGCCCGAGATTTTGGGCGATTTGCAAACCCTGGCAGCTATCACCTCTGCCCGGCTCCCAGGCATCCAGGCATCATGGGCCGCTCGTACTTTGCACTTACCGGGTTGCTCGCATGTGTCTGCTCATCTTTTCCAGAGACTATGTAGAGGTGTCTGCTTTTCCGTGAGAAGAAACGGTCTCTGCAAGGACTCCACATTTAATCTGCTGCATGGACACGTCTTGCACGAACATTCCTGAAGCCGTGCGGCCAACGCAGCCCCAGTCTTCAGAAGCTGCAGCTGGCTTTGGTAGGACCTCGTAGTTGTTCAAAGCAAACTGGGTTTCAAGCATGAAATCAATTTGAAGGACCCGATATTCTACGCGCCTACGAGCTGCACCGCATCAAAATGCCGAAGCAGATAACCGAAATGCTCGCAAAGGCTCGGCGCCAGCAGCGATTGAAGCAGGGAGCCATGGTCCTCGAGAGGTGCATTGGTGCCGAGGGTTTTTTGGTGATTGCGCTGCAAAGGAGTCCACGGAAGTTGGCATCATGCCTCTCTAAAGCCGCTGTTTCGCTAAACAGCGAAGAGTCCGGTAGAACAAAGGGTGACGTTCTTGAGCAGCGGAAGCAGTGGTCACCCTTGTGGTTTAGAATGGTTTAGACAAGGGCCTGTCGAGAACTTCAAGGGCGGCTCCGGCTTCGGGAAGGGAGTGTAAGGCATTGCAAGGATGGGTTGGGGACGGATTCGTCATAACATCAGGCCTGGGCTTAGTGAGGAGAGACAGCCCACGCAGGAGCAGCACGTCCTTCCAGCTGGATGACGATGGCCGAGTGGTCGGGCTGGTGCCTCCCTCCCATTCTCACAATGTTGTAGTCGTATCTCGTGGAAAGCACCCCCGGCTTTATTGTAGCTCTCCAGATGTTCACATCAACTATTTGCGCATGGGGAGTGTTTTGTGCTCTTTGGGGGTCCTTAATTGCAGGCTTCGGGATTGGAGGGTTTCGCGGATTGAGCGTGAGACCTTGCTATCAGGGCTTTGCGGCAAGTGTTGCTGGTTTCTAGTTCAGGGTCTCAGGGCGACGATCCCGGCAGCAACAGCGTGCGCGGCTGCGTACCGCTACAGTCACCAAACCGATTGTCACCTTCGATCTTGTGAGCCCTTCGACGCGAAGGCAAAGCATATATGATCCCAAGCTATGAAGAAGCGAGCCAGTTTACGTTCACACTGCAAGGTGCGGGAATCGCCGTCGTCGGCAGCAGCCCAAAGTGTTTCGGATCCGAAGCTTGTACACCACCAGCACAAAATCGCACCTCTGCTTCCAGGTCTCACACCACCTCGTGGAAGAGCTGATGGTCCTGGCGTGGGGGGCCTCGGTCATTTTGGGGTCCACCGCTCTCAAGAAATCAAAAATATGTAAGACTTCAGGCTCTGCAGATTAGTCTTCCTCTGCGGCTCTGTCTGAGGAACCATGTGGTGGCCGAGAAGCTGGTGGAAGCCAGTACTAGCGTTGGGGAGGCTTCGTGTTGTCAACAGTTTAAGGAGCTGTAGGACCCGAGAGGTACTGCAGTGGCTCTCTGATGGGGAGCTTTGCAAGCCAGGGGTTAAGCGGTTTTCGGTCTGAGGGAGGCATGGATGGCTTCGGGTCAGGTGCGGTACAGGGTACCAGGGCTTCAGTTAGACGCTCCGACAACAGCTTGCAACAGCGGATCCGAAGCTTCAGGATCCCGACAGGAAGTAAGTGCAGCTGCTCTGGGTTTTGAGGGGCCGGCCTCCCCCAGGGCCCCAGCTCTGACAGGAGACGTCGGAGGCGGGCGTCCGCCAGGCAGTGCTCAGGCCAGGGTGGGAAGCCTTCAAGGAGGTAAGACAAGCAGCTCGTTTCCTATACGCCCCGGTATCCCCTAAAGGCCCAGCCTGAACTCGAAAACGCAAGCCACCTGGGAAGCAGCCCGCAGGCGGCATGAAAACACCGAGGCCGAGGTAAGGAGCCAAGAGGGAGAGCGTCGGGCTTCGGGGCGAGCAGCGCTTGGCGGCCCCTAGGCTGTTTAGAGCTTCTGCCAGCGGGTACAGGAGCTCTGATTCTCTCGTTTCGGCGACACAGAGCTAAGCAAAGGCGGCTCTGGCCCAGGGCAGACGCAGACGCAGAGCTTTCTAAGAACAGATTACATGAGCCGCAAAGCTTGAACCTTCTAGAGGCGGCCTTGTTGCTTGGTGTGGAGGATTAGGGTGTTCGGTTCACTGTTTTGCAGCAGCTACATCTCCGGCAGCATTGCAGGCTTCGGTAATTTTGTTGTGGCTTTCATCGCCTGCCCCAAAGTGATTCGATAGGCCTCACACCTCCCTGGAAGCTTCAGGCGGTGACTTCACGAGTAGGTCCAATCTTTCGCTAGTTGAATATGTCCGGTGGAGTGGAGCTGCAGAGAAGCTTTGCGACTTGAAGTTACTGGAGGTTGCAAAGCGCTTGGAAACTAAGACTATTAAGAGATCAGCGTACTCGATTCAACTGCATACTTCCCAAACTGTGTCCGAGCGCTTCTTTAAAAATGCGGCCCCACGCTCGAAAATTGGAAACCTGCCGCACCGAAGCCCACGATACTCTTTGCCGTGCTTTGAGGTGAAGCAGGAGGTCCTCGAGATGCTGCCGAAGGACGAGACTGTCGGTCTTAGTCTTAGGCCTCGGGTCTAGCACCGAAGAGGAGCACCTAATCCCCATACTCTCATGGTTATTTCTTTCTGTGCTTCAGCAGATACTGCTGTCAAAACCCGCGTCTATGGCCAACAACAACAGCAGCCGCGACAGCAACAGCGACGACAAGACTGGGGACGATAAGAAGTGGGTGGTAAAGCCGTCATTGTAAACCCTTGCAAAAAAAACGCGACAGTCAAAAAGAGGTTCTGTACGATGCTAGACAAGTTCATGTTGACGCTCAAAGTTTCGGACCTTTGGTTTGGGCTTCACGATGGAAGGAGCTGCGCGAGCATGCGCCCCGGACACTCAAGGAGCTGTTGCCATGGTGCGGAACTCGGGTCTCTTGGATGTCCTTCGCTAGGTCACTACGGGCTGGGTTAGGGTTGATCTTGGCCCTAGCGGCCCTAGCAGCCCTAAATTTCAAACCGTGAAGCCCTTGAGGTTGTTGGTAAAGAGCTTGAAGAAGAACCAGACATGGAGTTGTTTTTTAAGTCATCCAACAGCAGCCCATTTCTTCACAGCTTCCAGGAGCCTCGGGATTTGAAGCTCAGAGTTTTGTTCGGATTCTCTTGCTTGGGCGCCCGAAGAAAGCAGGAGACCCTATTGAAAGCATGAAGCCAGCTTCAGGTTTGGTGTCCCCGACCCTTCAGTGCCCCTAAGCCCCAAACTCCTAAACTGCTGCCCTCGAACACCGAAGTCTCTGTCGCCAGGTGCAGTCAGAAGCTGCCGAGGGCGACCTACGAGGCTCTGGGGGTATCGGAGGTTCGGAGGTTCTATTTCGCATTGCAGCGGTTTCAATAAAATTTAGTTGAGACTTTGATGTTTTGGGGCTTTGAGAGGTTTTGGATCTTCGGATCTTCGGGGCTTCCGGGCTCTGAAAAGTCCGGGCGCCTCAAAGCCCCTGAGCCCCGGGGCCTGGTTAGGAGGGGCTCCAGGGCCCCAAGTTGCTACCCCAAACTTCCTCTGGGCTCTTCTTAAGGAGTCGAGTTTAAACTAAGTCCCCAAAGACAAGAGCCAGTCTTTTAGGAGCTTGAGGGGCTTGCGCCGGCGTCCCGAAACCCTGAGAACCAGCCTGAATCCGAATTAAACCTGTTTGAATCCCAAGGATCCTGGCAAACCCTAAACCCTAAACCCAAACCCCAATTAAAGTAAGTAATCTCTACAGAAGCCCAAGGAGCCTAAAGCCTCAGGCTGTCTGTGACAGTGTGCTGAAGGAGTTCAAAGAGGCCGAGTACATGGCCCGGACCTTGGTTTGTGGGCTTTGCAGGTTGTGAAGAGTTCGGTGTAGGGCGTAGGGATTAGAGTTTAACCTCTGGATGTAGCTTACCTCTGGCTTCAGGGTTGTGATGTGTCAGGGTTTAGAGATTGCAAGTTTTGGGGCATGAGGTTCGGACGATCGAAAGGACTAAATCCTGGCCGTCGCGATGCAGGTACCACAGGGCCTAGAGATGAGACTCCAGCCTTCAGCCCTCTTTGTCCAGCTCCCTGAACTTCAGCAACAAGCGGTCCCAAAGTCAGGTTGCCGAGGAGGACGACAGCGATGCGCCTTCCTCGACCGTGTGTTCAGGGTTTCGGGTCCTTGCGCTGATTGCTATTGTTCGTTACGACGGCGTGACTAGTACTGCTACTGCTACTACTACTACTACTACTACTACTACTGCTACTACTACTGCTACTGCTGCTGCTACTGCTACTGCTACTGCTACTGCTACTGCTACTGCTACTGCTGCTGCTGCTGCTACTGCTACTGCTACTGCTGCTGCTGCTGCTACTGCTACTGCTACTGCTACTGCTACTGCTACTGCTACTGCTACTGCTACTGCTACGACGACGACGACTACTACTAGTGCTACTTCTGCTGCTGCTACTACTACTACTACTACCACCACCACTACTACAACCACCACTACTTCCACTTCTATTCCTGCTTTCGTCCTGCAATTCATGAGTCTTATACCAGTCTAGTAGCCAGCAAACAGCAACTTGGCACTCTTCGTCGTCGTAGTATGTTGGTAACGGTGTGGTGTCAGGGGCCTATAGCGATGGGGTCTGTGTTTAAGAAGGCAGGGTTTAGGGAGTGGCAGGCTTTTTGACTGCTATCGTTGCGGGTGAACTAACTTGGCTGCATGTCTCTGCGAGTTGGACCTGATTGGCGAGGCAGCAACGTGAGGCGAAGAGAAACACTAGTACTAGTCGGAGCAGTAGTGCCAAGCACCACCAAAGCGGACTGAACAAGGTCGGACACTGGGCGCTTTCCTTACCATCGTGTCTTGGCGAACTTCACGGGGGTGGTGGCTGCGATCGGTGTGTCGTGATTGATGTGTTCCATTTTCTGGACTTGCTTAAGTTTGCTTAGTGTGCAATTCACCGTTTTGGGCCTCGCTTTCATATTGTAAATGGTGTCTGCCCTTCTGGAAGAACCCGCAGTTTTTAGGATTGGACCATGGTGCATCTCTTTCAACACTAACATTTCTGGGGTTCGGGGCATTTCTGGGGCGCGATGTCATGAGTTGGATTCAGTATCAATGTGCTGATCTTGAAGGATCTTGTTTTGGAAGAACCTTGCTTGCCGAAGTGTGATTGGGTCTGGTTGCTTCTGGAAGCATGTTTCCCCCGAAAGTCAGAGCTTCTGAGCTGCAAAGTGCAAATGTGAAGCTCATCATGATCGTGGGCCCAGATCCTGAACCCTAAGCCCTGCAACCTCACGCAGCCTCGAGCTCTTCACTCTGGGACCGGCAACTAGGTACATGCACTTCACATCGCCAATCCGCCGCTACGCGGACATCCTGGTTCACCGCAGGCAGCTACGGTTACCGTCTTGGCCAGGTGCAGACAAGAAGAGGAGGAGAACGCAGAACACCGGCACTGGGCATTCGTAGGCTTATCCAGGCGTAAAGTCTGGATATGATTTTCCAAACTGTAACCATTATGCAGATTATGCACGATAATGATGGCACAGTGTTTGCTCCGGCCGGCGTCGTTGGTGGTGGGTAGTGGTGCTAGTTGTAGAGGGGCTTATGGCAGTAGTGGTAGTACTGGTTGTGTGTGCACGCGCAGTAGTAGCGGAGTTTACACAGCAGCTGTTGATGGGAATAGGCCATGTTCCGGTAGCCTGGATGCCATTATCGTGTTGGCCTATTAGGTGATGCGCGGGGGGTCTGACTCCACTTGCGACCCCATTCGTTGTCGCCTTTGGGAGAATTGGGGCTACTTACTGTCGGGAAGCGTTGTTTGTGGCCCCGATTCGGGTTAATCTTCGGTTCACGATTTCCGTGGCCTACTCGGTTTTTGAGATTTTTGAGGGTCGGGGTTGTCGAGAAGAGAGGCTTTTGGTTCTTTTGAGGGGTTGGGCGAGGAAACACAACAACGGAGAGTGCCGAACGCATACTCTATGGTTGCGGCCCTTGATATGCATCTGCAAGTTGAGAAGCGAAAGCGAGCATCATTCAGTTGTCAGGCTGGCCTTTATTCTGGGCGCCCAGGGCGACGCGGAGTCCCAGGGCAGCCACGGCGTAGACCCTGCCAGTGCTTTGATTATCCTTGGTGTCAGTGGAGGGTTAAGTCGGGGCACTGACGTTCGGGTGCAGGATCTTCAGGGATCTGCGGCAGTTGCCTTGTTGCCTTGAGTGGAGCTCGTTTGCGGAGTCTGTTTTGGCGGGGTTGAGTCCAGGATTGACGGTGCTGTCAAGTTTGGTGATGCACACTGGGAGGGTTTTCCGAAATTGCAGGGCTGAGGCTTTGAAGCTGTGTGGTCCAAGACTCCTATGGACAAGCCCTCAGTCAAGAATGGAAAGGAAGCGGACGCCCATGATGCCCACAACGGAAGCTTTTCGCTTGAGACTTTGGAAGCTTCAACTCCCAGTCCCAGCCCGAAGCATTAGTTCCCATCTTCCGGGCCCGGAGAGTGGCAATTGCCAGTTCTTCCCGCTGCTCCGCTGTGGTGGCAGGCCTTTCTGGAGTCCCTGAAGGATGCAGCCGCTCCCCCTGGTGGTTTCAGAACTTATGATAATGTGCTGGCTATAGCTATACTCTTGGAATTTCTATGGTCGGATGATTAGGATGCCTGCATCTTAAGGCAGAACCTAAGGGCCCGTAAGCTCAAGCTCCGCAGCCTCCCAGGTCATCAACTGCAACACCAAGAAGCGCGATGCCCAAGATGCCGGCAGCTCAGAGATTCGTCGACCGGACGGAAGGACGGAAGGGTTTTGGCGTCAGAGTAATGCTGGTAGGATGCAAGCGAAAGAGTAAGAGGCGGCCGGCAGCCTTCTCTGAGGCGATTAGGGGCGAGACTAACACCATACGTATGCGCTTCAATTCCTTCTGCTGTGATAGTTTCAGCCACAGCCAAGAGGCACAGATGGAAGAGATCCAGACTGTGCTCTCAGACTACGTCCAACGAAGCGGAGGCAGGATCTTCCTTGGCAGAGCTGCAAGTAGGATGGTGCAGGAGGGGCGTCGTCGTAGTAGTGACTTAGTTGTGTTTAAGTTACAGCAATCGTGTACAAGTGCTACTGCACCTAATTGTACTTATAATGATGGTCTGAACCGGCCACCGGAACAATAGGGACAGCAGGATCAATACGAAAAAGGCAAGGGCGGGCAGCTTGGAGAGGACTCGATTTCTGATGAAGGCAGGTGTGGTATTCGAAGTGAAATGTGCAGAATAGGACAGTAATAAAGCAGTGCAGCCGACATGGCCAGTCAAACTTGTTGCTCCTTAACGCTTGTAAACTCAATCCGGGGCCGAGAAGGTCTTGAGATACATTTTCGGAATAGTAAGCATCCCCTGGGCAAGATTTTGGGCAATAGGGGCCGGTCGTAAATTCCCAACGCCCCCGGTTCTAAAGCCCAGCTGGAATGAGGTTTCAAAGATTCCGAAGGTAGTCACGCGCATGGTGATCTAAAACCCAAAACCTCAATTTCTATCCTAAACTAAGCCATGGGCAGAGGCGTCGATGTGGACGACGCGGTCCTCACCCGCATCCTCGTGCAGCCGGCTGAGATCCAGAGCCGAGGGAAGGTCAAGACTCGAAGTGGAGTGCAGGAGAAAGGCAAGGAAGACAAAGAATAAACTCCAAGGACACACCTCTCAAACTCGTGAAGCGCACCGAGGCCCCTGACAGCTCCCAAAGAGGAGAAGGCAAAGACCAAGCTATGCTTACCCCAATCTTGGTTGTAAGGACGAAGGGGCTTATGGGCTTCCAGCGGTCGTATGGGCGTGTTTAAGCGCTTTCAAAGTTCGTTACACTTGTGCTGTTGAATGGGTTACGCGTCCATGCAACAGGCCTCCTGACACGGAACCCCGGACAAGAGCCGATCCTTTTGTTTCCTTAAAGAAGTACGCCCTTGCCGAACACTCGGAGTTCTAAAGGTCAAAGATCGCAGGATCCCGGATTGCAGTATATGGACACTTAAGGGAGCTTCAGAATTAAGGTCACGTCTAAAGGTATTAGGATTCTGCTGCGAAGTGGACCCTTGTTAAGAAACCATGACTCATCACAGAGCCCCATCACTTCCTTTGCTGGACGCCCTTCGACCCGCCCCGGAGCCGTGGCAGGACGGGCAGCCGCTGTCCTTCCACAAACGCTCTGCCCTCGGCCAACTTCCGGAACTCCGAGAACACACGGCACATGCTATGCGGCCCTAGTAGCTTTGATGCGAGGCCGTTGGTCTGTATCAGGGTTCCGGGTTCTCGTGTTCAGAATCTCTCGACAAGGTGTCTTGTGCTAAACCTTGAATCACGGCTTCTTGAACAACCGCCCTGCCCTTCAACCCTGTCTCGACAGAGAGCACGTATGGCAGTCGGGTGCGAGAATGAGGCAGATGTGGAGTGTAGGGCGGCCTCTAGGGCATTTGGTTTAAGACTTCAGGTTTAGGGGTTAGGGACAGATGCTTCGGGTTGCTGCGAAGTGGTTCTGAAGGCTCGAAACAGAACAGGAAGAAGTGTCAGGCGGTGCCCCGTAGATTAGCTTTCAGAGGCCTGGCCGACAGCTGCGTTGAATCAGAATTTTCAGGAATCTTCCAGACGCTGAGGCCTGACCACTCGGGCGGCAAAGGAGGCACGGTTAGGGTTAAGCAAGGAAGCCGTGGTGGATGCCCCGAGCCCAAGCCTCTTCAAAATCGGCACCTAGTCAGAGGGAATCTATTTATTGGGGGTCCCATGGATGCTCCCATCCAAGAACAGAGTCCGGGAAGAGCAGTCTTTTATGTTCGCACTCTGCCCAGTCGAGGCCCGACGAACCTCCACCCCGAGCCCCGAGAGACTACTTAGCCGAAGCGGCCCCCTTGCATGGGGGAGGCTGTGGAGATTTACGTGCCGCTGGCGCAGTGTGCTCGCTCCATGAGCTTGTGCCCGAGGGTGGAAGCTGTGCCAGGTTAGGGCTTAGGCATCTGGTTTCTTGGGGGTTCAGGCTAAGGGCTAAGTCTTGAAGATCTCGCTGATGGGTTGCAGGACTCTCAGGATACGCCCAATTGGACTTCACTGGCATGTTCGACCCCAGCAGCCGACCGACTCGACTCTAAGCGTCCTCTTCCAAGGCTTATTATCCAAGAGGCTTATTTTCGCACTAGGATCATCGGTAATCGCAGCGCTGTCAGCACGTTCTGATCACAGCAATGTGCTCCATTATCATCCTCCCAGCATTATTCATGATCGTGACTATCGGACGATCGTCATCAACTTCACCGCCACCGCGAAAACTGCCACGATCTCGAACACGCAACCGTCGTGACGGTCTCCTGATGCCGCATGCTTCTCTGAGTTTCCGGCTTCGCTGGCTTGCGACCTTCAAATTTACCCTGAGCCCTTAATTCCGACATCATAATCCCTTAACCCTCATCTTGCACCCCCCCCCCCCCAAATCTCGAAATCTTGCTCCTCTGCGCTTCGCACATCGTTTTTCGACCCTGCAATCCTGTCGCATTGACTTTTGGGAAAGGTCTCGAAGTTCTCGGCTTGGAAGCTGCTGAGCCCTGGCCCGGGTCCGGCCCTGAGGCTCAAGCCCTGCCATTGCCATTCTCACTTTTTTAATTGCTACTAGTGTCATTAGTATCAGTGTTGCCATGGCTACTTCTCCTTCTTCTATTTGTCGTCGTCGAGGCGCTATGCTTGTTTGACTCTCGTGGCTGTTGGTTCTATTGTGATAACTACAGCTACTACCGGTGCTTTCGGTGATTTGCTATAGTGATTTCTGTAATGGCGATGATGATTGATGGTCTTGTTGTGACTATTGCTATCAGTGTTGATGTTATGACTACTGCTGTTAGAGAGTAATTGCCATACCCGTCCAATGTCACCTTCAATGTTCGTGTCGCAATGAATTTAATGCTATCTCGGTATCATGAACTGGTATGTATTGCTATCTGCCACGAGTATTGCTGTCACTGCTTGCGGTTACGAGTTGGGTAGCTTTCGATGGGTACAGCTGCTGCACACGCTCGTACCACCATCCTCATGACATTGGTTGCTGTTCTTCATCAGCCACATTTGTTCCCAGCCATTCTGACTGTAATTGTAATGTACATGTTTATCATCTTTTTGAGCTGCCTCATCTTCCCGTACCTCGTTTGTCCACCATGATTCCTGATCGTGATTGTCTCAAGCTGTTGGCGGCTGTCAGCGTATGCAGTTCGTTGCACTGTATGGAAGGGGATTCTCTTCTAAGGGTCTCGAATACCCCGTTCCCAGGTTTTCGGACTTGATTAAGGTCTTTTGGAAGGACGGGAAGATACCAGGCGGCATTGATGGTTCTCTTTCCTCAGGGTTGCTGCTTTGATGACGCTTCATGGTTACCGTGGCTTTCCGTTTGACTCGTTTAACGAAGTTGTGGACCGACACGATCGCCTAGGCACCGGGCACCAAATGCTGCAAGTCCCATATCTTCGAAGTGGATATACAGGGCTCTAAGATCCCTAAACCGTGCAGCCCCGACCCGAGGGTTTACATATAGGGGCCATGGAAAGCTCAACCGTCCTTCACTTCTGGTGCCGCCCAGGCCAGGACCACAGCCTACTGCCAAAGCTGCAGGCAACGGGTTAGGAATGGCACTCGAGTGAGACGATAAAGTGTGGGAGCTTCTCCGGATTTGATTGGGTTCGGGGTGTCATGGGTTACAGACAAGCTCAGAGAGTTTAGGACTTGAGAATTGCGACGTGCTTGAACACTGTTCGTGTGTATTGCAGATTCAATTCAGGGTTCAGGGGCTCGCAGTCATACAGCCTAGATGCACTTGAAGCTTTGGCCTGCCTCTTTCATTATTCAGGTTCCGAGCCGTGGAAAGCTGTGGGGCTGTGAGGCTTTTGCTTCGGTTGCTGGCCGAGGCCGAGGCCCAAAAGCCTGAGGTTGGCAAACGTGCAATGTAGCCGTGACGGCTTACCCGCCACTACCCAGGCACAAGCTTGAGACCCCAACCCCGAACGCCTTAAATGAACTGCGAATTCCCACGCAGTCGGCGACAAGAAGCGGGAGAAACACCGCGAGGCCTGAAGTGGATCGTGTTCTCAGACTTGGGGCTTGCTCGGGAGCTTTCCGGTAGAGACACGGCCCTGGCGTCTGGCTGCCATTGCACCTGTGCGGCAGATCCCGTACTTGACAAACATAAAGCATTCTGCATGCTCTAAGACCTTCCTTGCTCGTAGTTATCCCGCTGAATTGCCGTTTGAGTAAGTACGGCCACTTCATTCTTGCATAGTTGTCTTGCTGGCAATATTCATAAGCCATGATGGACATAACGATGACAGCACTTCCATCACGAAATCAACAGTACTCTTGATTATGATCCCTGCTGCTAGCGCGGTAGTAGTGGTGGTGTTGGTGGTGGTGGCCGTGGTGGTGGCAGTAGCAGCAGCAGCAGCAGCAGCAGCAGCAGCAGCAGCAGTAGCAGTAGCAGTAGCGGTAGCGGTAGCGGTAGCAGTAGCGTTAGCAGTAGCCACGGTGGTGGCTAGTGACTAGCGGGTAGCACTAGCCGTGGCCGTGGCAGTAGCAGTAGCAGTACGAGCAGGAGCAGCAGCAGGAGCAGGATTAGGAGTAGTACTAGTCCTCGTCGTAGTAGTAGTAGTAGTAGTAGTAGCAGCAGGAGGAAGAGGAGTCGCAGGAGTGGCAGTGGCAGTGGCAGTAGCAGTGGCGGTACGAGCAGGGGTAGCAGCAGGAGTAGGACTAGGAGTCGTACTAGTCGTAGTCGTAGTCGTAGTCGTAGTAGTAGTAGTAGTAGTAGTAGTAGTAGTAGTAGTAGTAGTAGTAGTAGTAGTAGTAGTTATTAGTAGTTAGTAGTTAGTAGTTAGTAGGTAGTGTTAGTATTCGTATTAGTAGTAGTAGTAGTAGTAGTAGTAGTAGTCGTAGTCGTAGTCGTAGTGGTAGTGGTAGTGGTAGTGGTAGTGGTAGTGGTAGTAGTAGTAGTAGTAGCAGAAGAAGTGGTAGTAGTAGTAGTAGTAGTAGTAGTAGTAGTAGTAGTAGTAGTAGTAGTAGTAGTAGTGGTAGTGGTAGTGGTACTGGTACTGGTACTCGTACTGGTACTGGTACTGGTACTCGTACTCGTACTCGTACTCGTACTAGTACTAGTACTAGTACTAGTACTACTGTGGATGGAGGAAATCTTGCACCACTTTTAAGATATGTTAGTTAGCTTCACCCCGCGCCCCCTTCTTAACATTGCTATGAACACGGGGATTTACAAAATCGTTCCAATGACATAAATCTTGCACCGCCCCAAGAGGTCTGTCGTCAATGTTAAGAAGGGGGCGCGGGGTTGTTGCTTGGATGTGTATTCGAAACAAGATGTGTAGGTGGTGCAAGATTTCCTCCATCCACCGTAGTACTAGTACTAGTACTAGTACTAGTACTAGTACTAGTACTAGTACTAGTACTAGTACTAGTACTAGTCGTCGTGGTGGTCGTCGTCGTCGCTCGATTGGATTAAGGTGCCACTGACACTAGTGAACCAGTGTCGGGGCAGTGCTCCTTTACCGGACTCTGCATAGCAGAGTGCACCTCAGGGTGCCAGAAAGCCGCCGTAGATGGGACGCCAAGCGGATTCTTTCGCTGCGAATGAAGAAGAAAGCGGGTAGTAGTAGGCGGAGGAGGAATGCAGTATCAGTAGCGGGAGCACGAGCAGCAGCGGAGTAGCAGTACATGATGGCGCATGTACTTGCACGAGTATTAGTATCAATAGTAGTAGTCGTACTTCATATGCAATACCCAGCTACGGTTCACAGTACGTGAGAAACCGTGGACGAAAGTGTAGTACTAATGGTAGTGCGAATGCAAGGCATGGCTGTAGTCATGAGTCGCCGTGACAATCATGGGGGTATCATCCCGAGCACCCTGCCCCTAAAAGCTGAACCTTGTGAGAGACCCGTGTTGCTCGGAGAGGTGCAAAGCCTCCGAGTGCGTGTTCGCGGCACATCGGAGGAGGCTCGTGGACTCGACTGGTCCTGGATTTCTTGCGTTGAACACCCGGCAGAACAGCACCGGCCCGCGATTACCATGCATGGAAAGCAGGTGACCCTGATCTCTGGCCGTGATAGATGCATGATGTGGAGCAGTGTCATGCGGCTCATTGCGGGGTTCGTCTGAAGAGTGGCTACTTGTTCCATGTCCTTGTACTATTCGATAGAAGTGCTTTACTCTCAAGCTCAGTGGTTGCTCAAAGCCCACTCTGGTTGAAGTCTCGGACTTTGCGGCACGAAGGTCCTGTTGGAAAAGCTGCAGCGGCTGAGCGTTCGCCTCACCACTGTCGGGGCACAGGAGCAGATGCAGACGCTGGGCATACCTACAGAATGCAGGCAGACAGGTAGGAAGGCGCTCTAACTGGCAGGACATTGAGTCGAGCGAGACGAGCCGGCCGCAGCCTCAAAGAACGTAATCAGGCGGCCAACCACAGTCGTCCGCCAGACTTTTTTTGGTGCTCGGCGGGGTTCTGATGGAGCCAGAAGCAACTTGAAGCAAGAATTGTCCTGCAACTTTTAAGTCTTTTGCATGCCGTTGAACTTCCGGCCCGCGTCCCGGGTGCTTGCTGTATGTCTTGGCCCGACTTTCTTGACCGAGGCACTGGGCCATCCGCCTTCCTTGGGCCGAGGCCAACCCGCAGAAGGCCCCGGCACCGGAATCCAGTCCGGGTCCCCCCCCGAAGCCGCCGAAGCCGCAGGGGGCGCAGGCGGGCCGCGGGGTCGACTCTTCCGGTGCAGGGACTCAGGGACTCTGTCTGCAGGAAGCTTGGACAAGAGGCTGCCCGGCAGTTGATTCCTTGGATGTGGCTTTGCCAGGCGCCATCAGGGCCATTGATTCCACCACCGCCGCCACCCCCGCCCCAACCTGGTGCCTCGTGGCGATAAGTTTGAAAAAAAAGCCTGGTGCACTTGAGGTGTCATGGGCTGAACATGCTCCGCGTGGGGCTTCATGGAAGCTGAATCACATGTAGACAGATCAGAGTAAAGAAGCCTAGTTAGTTAGTCATCATGGAACAAAGCCATGTCACTGTAATGTCACAAAGCGAATTTTTGGACTTAGATATAGTTATTGCGAGATGCCTTTCGGCTGGCCCAAGTTCGCGGGTCGAGATATATCTTGCGGGCAGCCATTCAGGCTCTTTCGCGTCGAGCTCCACGTTTCAAAAGCATGTGCAGCTCTGAGAGCCACCTCGGGATTTCATTGAACGTGTGGATCTCCATGGCTCTTGTGGACATCTTCGCCCACTGCATTCCTCACCTTTGCATGAAAGTATAAACCGTGGCGTGTAGGGTGATTCCGTGGGCAGTTCTTGTCGCCCCAGTGTCCAGCATGGGCTCGACACGAGGAGCACGGAGGGTCCTTGAGCATTCGTATGTATGTCACAGAGTAGAGTTGGATGCTTCTGTCTCCGAGCTTTGTATCACAAGCTTGATACCATTGCTGTCCAAGCATTCTCGGTCTCTCAGAAGGGTTGGGGGTTCTTTTTGGGTATTTTTGTGGTTTTTTGCGTATATCTTTATGGTTTTCGGTTCGCTGGGTGCGCGAGCAAGTCAGTCAGTCAGTCCGCCAGTCAGTCGGCCAGTCGGCCAGCCAACCGAGCAGTCAGTCAGTCAGTCGGTCAGCCAACCGAGCGGTCAGGCAGTCAGCCAGTCGGTCGTCCAGCGGAAGCGGTGAGTCAGTCAGCCAGTCAGTCCGTCTGTCAATCGAGTCAGTCGGGCAGCCGATCTGGCGCTGCAGCTGCAAAACAGTGAGTATGGGGTACCGGAATCGCCAAATGAGGGGGCGTTTGTGAGATATATGATGAATCTGAAACGCGAAAAGAGAAGGAGTGTTTAAGATTATGGTGAACCGGAATCGCCAAAAGAATCGGCATGTTTAAGATATATGATGAACCGGAATCGCCGAAGTTTACGATATATGATGCGCCGTTATCACACAAAGAGGGGGCGTGATTAAGATATACGGTGAATGGTTGTCGCCGAATGCCGGCGCGTGTTAAAGATAGCTGGTGAACCGGAATCGCCAAATGAGGGTGCGCGCTTAAGATCTCATGAACCGGCCGTCCTCTTGCAATTGCATTTGCAAAAGGGGGGGGCTGCGTCCACCCCAAGCCCTGTTGTGAACGCGCTTTAGTGAACGTCGTACCATCAAGAACGCTATTCGGCCATTTGCGATGGTCGTAGCAAGTCAAGTTTGAGATATGTGACATGATGCATCGGAAACGCCAAAAGAGGGGGCGTGTTTAAGATACATGGTGAACCGGAATCGCCAAAAGAGGGGGTGTGTTTAAGATATATGATGAACCGGAATCGCCGAATGAGGGCGCGTGTTTAAGATATATGGTGAACAGTTATCGCCGAATGCGGCCTGTGTTACAGACATTTGGTGAACCGGAATCGCCGAATGAGGGGGCGTGTTTAACATATATGATGAGCCGTTAAACAAAAGAGGGGGCGTGTTTAAGATATATGGTGAACGGTGAACGGTTATCGCCCGATGAGGGGGCGTGAGATATATGATGACCGTAATTACCATAGACGGGGGCGTGTCTAAACTATGCGGTGTGGCATAATCAGGCAAAATCTATGGTGAAACGGAGTCGCCAAATGAGGATGCGTGCTTAAGATGTGATGAACCGTCGGTCCTCTTGCGATTGCCTTTGCAAATGGGGCGGGGCTGTGCCCCGCCCAACCCCCCGCTTTCTTAAGCGCTGTTGTTAAGGTGCTTTAGCGAACGTCGTATCATCAAGAACGCTATTTGGCCATTTGCGAGTGGTCGTAACAAGTAAAAGGCATAACTCTTATGAGACCAGGGAAAACCATAAAACATACCGACAAAAGACCAAAATTAGGCCCCTCTTTGTGACTCTTACAGGCTCTCTACTATCCAGGCCCAGAAAACCATAAAACATACACAAGACAAGCCACAACAACCCACACCAAACAACCTTGGACCCTCCCAGAAGCCGGTTTGCATGGTTGCTGAGCATGTCAGGCATGACACCAAAACAGCGTCAGGCCCCGAACTCAACCGCCCAGACGTTTCCGTGTCGACCAGCTCACAAGCGCTGACACAAACGATGTGTTCTCTGAGCGGAGCTCGGGCCGACACAAGTGTTTTTGCTTCTGTAACCGTCAGTCCGGGCCAAACCCTCCTTGTCTACCCTTACGCTCAGCTCCAGGAGTGTCTCCTATGGAGCAGTCCAAAGAAGAGAAGGTGGACGGGAGACAAAGTTTCGTCGCAGACGGATCCGTCTAGAGCCATTGCATTGAAACCCGCATTGACGCTTGTTGAAGGGAGGGCGGATGGGCTGATTCACGACGACCCCCCCCTCCCCTAATTCGCCCTCCTTGCATGCCTTATTCAGGTCGTAGTGCCTGCAGAAGAAGGGAAACCGGACACCGAAGAGGACTGACGTTTTCACACTTTTGGGTTGAGAATTTTGATGTCAGCTGCAGCATTAATTAGCATCTTGCTACGCACAGCCCGAGTTGAGTAGACTCTACGCAGGGCGACTCGGCATTGGGTGGAGCCTTAGCTTCTCCTCATGAGCTAGTCGAAACTCGAGCAGTTCAACGCTGCCGGCTCCGGGTGCATGTGCCAAGTTCAGCTTCGGAACATCATCGAATCATCGTGGTTCTGGAGTGCATTCTGACCATCCAGAGCAAGTGTGAAGCAGTGGCTGTAGGGTCCGGAGCCTACTCCAACCGGTTTCTCACAGCAGGAGCCCTTGCACAAGCTGAAGTCCATCGCATGGGGAGCGGCTGCTTGCTCGGAAATGCAGGGTTTCAGGGTTTGTCCCGGAGCTTGCGCACCGCGCAGCCTTAGCAAGAGAGTTCTCCAAAAGAAACTAGTTACCCTGTCAACTATGCGTCTAGGCTATTGGCTTCACTACCGGGAACTGGCCAAGTGGACTCTTGTGGTTTCATGAGGCTTTCCCGATTCTATATACGGTTCATACTCCGGGCTGTGGGTTTTCCGTGCCTTATTCCAAACGCTTGAGCAATCCGAACTCCTTCCTACGTGAGCCACGAATGCGTGGACCTAATGGCTCAATGTAAAACGGATCTCGAATGCGCTCAAAAAGCCACCACGCAAAACTGACGGCAGTAAGCCTTTGAGTGGCGATTCCAAAAATTCCTGTAGTGGTCTGCAAGAGGCAAACTCTACCTCACCTCTTTCATGGAGCTGCCACAAACGGTACTATAAAAACCGTTAATGGAATCCGTTAAAGGAGCCTAGTAGTACCCTCTACCCTCACTGACAACTGAGTCAAACGGTTGGTCCGAGCAGCGGTGAGCTCCTATGAACTCGGTGCCTTCGAGATGGCTCCCTACAAAGCTGCCAATCTGAATCCCCATCCCAGTAGACCGCTATGTCCTATAGAAAGCCCTTAAAGCCCCTACTTGCCCTAAGAAGAAATGAATCTCCCAAACTTGCCGACATCCCGATGTGGCTCCTCGGCCTAAGGGCGCCTCGATGCTTGCCTATGGTGTGGTGGAAACCTTGGCGGAAGGCCCGAAAGGTTTGCGAGCTCATAACTAAAGAGTTTAGGGGTTCTTGGGGCTCTAGGGCTTTGGTGTTTCAGGATGGGTACGGCTTGGGGCTTCTAGGGTCGTTGGGTTTAGGGTTTTATCGTTCAGCGTTCAGGTTGAAGGGTTGAAGGGCGCACTTGCATCCGGGAGTCCCTGCGTCATCACACATGGCAAGACAAGAGCCATCGTGTTGCCGGGCCATTGTATCGGGATCCGGTAGGAGGACCAACAACAGTAGCTACAAGACGCTACAAGAAAACACAGCATCTTGTCCAAACCTCACTCTTTAGGACCATGAAGGCCAAGCCAATACGTGCTTGCAGTGCTTAGCCCGGACGCTCCCGCTCCTACGTAACCCTAAGCAGCAAAGTAAACCCTGAACGCCCCAAAGCCTAAAGGCCAATAAAGCCAGACTCTAGCCAACGCCCGAGAGCCCTGTGGACCAGGGGATGCGGAGATCGCCGAGGATGCCAGGGGAAATGCGGGCAGAGGGTTCAGGATTTGAAGGTTTAGGGGTCTGGGCTTTGGGGTGTTGGGTGACTAGGGTGTTCGCGTTTCAGGGTATTTTGGTGGCGTTGTGACACTAAATGCTACCGCTGGAAAATCGCTCGGAACTGTGTACTGTAGGAATGATACTTATGATACTGGGGCTGCATATAGCAGCGTATAGGTGAATCGTCCCTAAACCTCTTAAATCCTGTGTACCTAAACTCATGCTGCAAAAAGTAAGCTATGATGTCAGGATGCAGTGGACTTCCTCCACTCGACCTACACCTCCGGCGTGGCCGTTTCGGGCATCTCTTCATTGCAGCCAGACGCTCAGGTCCGAATTTTTGGTCAGACCCTGTCCGGGCTCGAAGCCAACAAGCCCCAGACTCCCGCATGGTGTTATTTCTTGCAGGGGGAACAGAGGCGAGAAAAAGACAGGACAAGACTCCATGAGGCGCGGGTTCAGGGCCCGGATCTCTGAGGGGCCCAGGAGAGCTCTGACTCCGAGGCCACACTCCGAGCATCGCGTAGCTTTGCCTGCGGACATGGCGCTGCTCGGATTCTGACTTGGGCCTTGGGCGTGTGTAGAAGGGGGGGTCGTGACGTTCTCGTGGAGGTGGCCTGGAAGGGATGTTCCGCATGGTGCTGTGCAGGGGATGCTACCAGTAGTCAAAGGAGCCACCCCGACGGCCTATAGGGTTGGGCCCCGGTA